TCGATGTGTCTCTCTCACGTCGATGTGTCTTTCTCACATCGATGTGTCTCTCTCCCTCTCTCCTTCCTGCTCCATCTGAGGATAAATGCAAAAATGTTCTCGGGTGAGGATAAAATGAAAGAAAAAAGAAAGTGAGGACTTCTGGTCAAGATGGCAGCATAAGTAAACGTGGTACTTGCCTCCTCCCACAACCACATCAAAATTACAACAAAACTGCAGAACAACCATCCTTCAGAACCGCCTGACGTCAAGTTCAATGGAAGTCCTACAACTACAAATTAAAGCAGCAGCCACATTGAGACTGGTAGGAGAGGTGGAGGAGTGGACACGCTGGTCCCATACCTATGTGTGGCATATAAAAATCAGGAGGATAGCTCTGGCCAGTTTTGCTCAGCGGTTAGAGCATCGGCCTGCGGTCTGGAGAGACCTGGGTTCGGTCCCCACTAAGGACGTGTAACTCGGTTGCAGTTTGTCCCCAGCCCTGGTTGGGTCGTGAGGGTGGCAACCACTCGATGTGTCCCTTTCACATTGATGTTTCTCTCTCTCTCCCTCCCTCCCACTCTATCTGAGCAAAAAACAGAAAGATGTCCTCAGGTGAGGATAAAAAAAAAAATCAGGAGGATACCTTGGCTGTGAAGGTCCTCTCTGAGGAGGTGAGGGGTCCCCGTCCCACACCATGACCCCCAGCTCAGGGTTCCAGTGCCAGGAAGAGAAGTCCCCATAACTTCTGGCTGTAAAAACCAGGGGAAACTGAGGCTGAGGGAGGCTGAAGCTGCTGAAGCTCCAGGTAGCTCCTCTTAAAGGGTCCATGCACGGACTTATTCGAACTTTCTCCCTCTGAGCTCCAGCGCAGAGGGGAGGCAGCTTGAAAGGCACCAGAGACATACAAGGGAACTGAGTTGTTGGCATCAGAGCGAAGACTGGAGAGGCAGCTTTGTCCTGAACAGACATGCTGGCAGAGGCCATTGTTCCTTTGGTGAGCCCAAGCTCTTTCCCCACTGGGCAGGCAAATGGCTGCCATATCTGGGACTCCAGCAACTTGGCTCACACTGTCTGTCCCACCCTAGTGATTTCCTGAGGCCCTGCCCCACCCAACTTTCAGGCCCATTCGAGGCGTTTCCAGTGGCTTTACCAGAGGATTGGACTGTTTGGGCTCCTGCTTCAGATTTTCCTAAATTCTCTCAAACAAGAAGCATCTGGCCACAGCAAGCCCCATACCTTTCACTAAGTGGCCACAAGCCTGGCACTAGAAGCAGCCAGCCTTGGTTCACAGCTTGGCTTCACCTGGGCACCTCCAAGCTCAGCACAAGCAGCAGGAATCTACAGATCGTTTTGTAGCTTATGCCTGGTGGCCCCGGGTAGAACATAGGCAGTGGCTGACCTTGCCCCAGAGCCAGCACACCTAGGAGACAGCTTCAGACCAGTCAAGGCACCACCACCCAGCCCTGCCGGTTTGTCAGCGGCTGGAGTGTCCGCCTGCGGATCAGAGAGTCCTGGGTTCAGTTCCCGCTAGGGGCATGTACCAAAAAAAAAAAAAAAGCACCACCACCCAACAACCTCCACAAGTGACACACTCAAGGAATGGACACTCGGGGTACCAGAGCCCTGCTGAAGTAAGTCTTGTTCTGTGTGGTGGGTGGGCCCCTGCACAGCTGATCATCCAAGGTAGACAGAGGTTAGTGGGCACAGCCAGTCCTTGCAGCTGACCATCCTGAGTAAACCCTCCCATTGATGGGCCAAAAGCAACCAAGATTCAATTATAACAGAAGGGTGTAAAGTCTACATGAGGGGTGCATCCCTGAGGACCCAGCTGGGTGATCAGGAAGGCTGTGCCACTGGACCCTATAGGACACCTACTATAAGAGACCATCCTAGGAAGCCTAGGAGACATAGCAACTCTACCTAATACATCGAAACAAACACAGGGAGGGAGCCAAAATGAGGAGACAAAGAAACATGTCTCAAATAAAAGAACACAACAAAACTCCAGGAAAAGAACTAAATGAAATGGAGATAAGCAATCTAATAGATGCAGAGTTCAAAACATTGCTTTTAAGGACACTCAATGAACTTAGTGAGGGCCCCAAGAGTGTAATAAAGGACCAATCAGAAACGAAGTATGTACTAACTGAAACAAAGAGTAATTTACAGAGAATCAATAGTAGAGCAGGTGAAGCAAGAAACAAACCATCAATTTGGAATATAAGGAAACAACAAACACCCAATCAGAAGAGCAAAATGAAAAAGAATCCAAGATAATTAGGATAGTATAAGGAGCCTGTGGGACAACTAAAGCGTACCAACATTCGCATAATGGGAGTGCCAGAAGAAGAAGAGAGAGGGCAAGAAATTGAAAACCTATTTGAAAAAATAATGACAAATAACTTCCCTAACTTTGTGAAGAAAACAGACACACAAGTCCAGGAAGAATAGAGAGTTCCAAACAAGATGAACCCAAAGAGGTCCACACCAAGACACATCATCATCAAAATGCCAAAGGTTAAAGACAAAGAGAGAATCTTAAAAGCAGCAACAGAAAAGCAGTTAGTTACCTACAAGGGTGCTCACATAAGGCTGCTAGTCGATTTCTCAAAAGAAACTTTGCAGGCCAGGAGAAAGTGGCAAGAAATACTTAGAGTGATGAAAAGCAAGGACCTACAACCAAGATTACTCTATCCTGGAAAGCTATCATTTAGAATAGATGACCATACAAAGAGTTTCCCAGACAAGAAAAAGTTAAAGGAGTTCATCACCACCAAACCAGTATTATATGAAATGTTGATGGGTCTTCTTGAAGATAAAAAAATATGAACAATATAATGGCAATAAATACACATCTATCAACAATCGAATCTACAAACAAAATGAGCAAGCAAAACAGAAACAGACTCATAGATACAGAGAAATTTTTGTTGGTTGCCACATGAGAGGGAAGTTGGGTGAAAAAAATAAAGGGTTTAAGCAGTACAAATTGGTTGTTAGACTGATGAACCTCAAAGGGAAGGGGGGAGGTGGGGTGGGAAGGGAGAAACCAAAGAACTTATATGCATATATACATAACCAATAGACATAGACAATAGTGTGGGGAAAGTGGGAGGGGGGACGGCATTGGGGAGGAGGGGGTCAAGGGTGGGGGTAAGAGGGACATCTGTAATCCATTCAACAATATAGATAAGTTTAAACTTTTTAAAAAGTGGGACTATATGATATCCAAAGGGTTTTTTGTTTTGTTTTTTACTTCTAGGATTCCAATATTAGAGGCTTTATGTACTAGACAAAGGCCAATTTGTGAGCAGGAAATAAGAATTTGGTAGAAGGCAGATATGCTCAAAACTAAACAATGACATTTTAAAAAGGAACCCAAACTAAGTTTATAGAATGTCAAGTCATATTGTTCAAAGAAGCTGATCACTGAAATTACTGGTGATTTAAAGCAATACTGTCTTCAGCAGACATTTACCTCCCCAGAATTCATTTCTCCATCTTGCAGAATTTTACCTGGGGGACACCCTCTCCCCCACCTTCACGTGGTGTCAGTGACAAACTACCACCCACCACTCCCGGGACAGAGTACTTGAAAAATCACACTATATACATCCCGGGCCACTGATTGTTTCAGTGGTAGGCATGGCGCTAAGCCAGTCCAATCAGGTTGAATCTTAGGACTTTTGCTGGAACTGCCAGAGGAGAGGCACTCCATTGGATCTGAAATTAAATATACATGAGGCTAGGTGTGTGACAGCACCCTTGACAACACAAAGGGAAAACCCATCTGAGAATGAATCAACCCAGTGGAAGTGAAAACAAGAAAGGGAGAGACTAAGAGAACTGATTATATAATTTGAGCCACACATAAAGCTATGCCTTAAGCCATTACTATCTCTAAGAGGTCTTAGTTTCACAAATCAACAAATTCACTCTCACTCAACATGAGTTGGTTCTTTCTTGCAACTGAAAATCAAAATCACAACTAAGTTTCTCTAGATCAATCTCAATGTAGTCTCATGAATGAGAAAGTATCATTGCCAAATTCTTCCCATATAGTCCAGATAAATTATTTAATGCTTTTTGTCTCAATACCATCAATAAAATATCACTCATTATTTGCATCAAAGTGTTGTGAAGGTAAAGAAAAAAAGAGTTTGTGTAAATGCAGTGATATTTAAATATAGTGTCTTATATATGGAAAAAAGGTCTTAACTTTTTAAAAGTAATTTTAGGAGATAATTTCTACAATGAGTTATTACCATAAAGTTTCCAGAGAATAAGAAAATTAAGGAAATCAACAGATTATAATCAAATCTAATTGTACTCAAGTCTGTTTTACACAATACCTATGTAAAGAAAGAAAATTTTACTCCAAATCAAGTAGTCCTGAGATTAGGTATTAGTTCTACTGTTGACAGGTTTGCATGCCTTTGGACAAAATAACCTCCCTAAGCATTTAACTCCTAACCTACGAAACAAGAACAATATTATCTCTCAAGTCAAAAGGTTTTTGTGAGGATCAAATGAGATAACAGTTATAAAAGCTCTTATTTGGCATGGTCTCTGCATTTAATATTCCTTCCACAAAATGGAGTGCAAGCTATTCTTACAATAGCTTAACAGAATATGCTCTTAAACAATAATGTTTTTCTAATATGTTATTCAAATATCTAAATTTGGAGGAACACTGTATTTCATTCATTCTAAGATACACATTTTTCACTGTCTGAAATCAAATAGTCTTATAGTTCATGGCAAGCCGTTGTTTATTTGGTGGTGATTTTTCTTTTTTTAGTGGTACGTAAGAAAATTGTGCATCCTGCAATTAAAGGTTGCCTTAGATTTTATGAAATAAGGTACACTGATTCCCAACTGAAGAACCATGGTACTTAACCAAATAAAGTAGTATTTACCAAGAAACAGAAAAGGTGCGTGGGGCAGAGGGGTGTGGGGGCTGAAATAGACAGAGAGAGAGAATTTACACAGGCAGCTGTAATTTTTACTTCACATACCTCTGTAAGTCAACCAGTTCATTGTTAAGGGTATCTAGCTCCTTAATAGCAGAGAAATCTGCAACAGGACTTGATCCTATAATGTTCTAAAAACAAAAAGTTCACAATTACGTATTACTATAAAATTATATATGGCAAAGCATTTAAAATGTTTAAAAGCATTACATGGATATAGAGTATGACATTTTTTATGATATTACTAACAATTTTAATTCATTTAAGAACATCATATTTAGTGCAATTTTAAACACACACAGTTATATACTAAGACATTTTCCCTTAAATTCTCTAAACACCCTTGTTCTCTATTATGTACCATCACTTCAGATCCCAACGTGTTTGTCACTAGGTGCTAGCCTGTCCAGAACCCTGCAGTACAGCAGATATCAGATTCATAAAGTAGTTCCTCCACTGAAGTGTACATTGCTTGTGGAGATGAATGGCGATTTATTTGTATTTGTTTAATCTTTTTTTTTTATCCTCACCTGAGGATATTTTTCGATATTTTGTTCAGATAGAGTGGGAGGGGGAGAGAAAGAGAGAAACATCGATGTAAAAAGGACACATCGACTGGTCGCCACCCACACGACCCAACCAGGGCCGGGGACAAACTGCAACCGAGGTACCTGCCCTTAGCGGGGACCGAACCTGGGTCTCTCCAGACCACAGGCCGATGCTCTAACCACTGAGCCAAACCGGCCAGGGCTGTATTTGTATAATCTGACACAAAGTATGTACACAAATTTTTGTTGAGTATTAGAATTATAATGGGGGTTGATCTTATTCAATTCAACAAATACCAGCTTTTGTTAAATACTTTTAGTGTCTACTCTATTTAAAGTAAAACCTACTGCTCAGGCATATTCCATAGTAAATATCACCACATATGAAACTATTTTCATACAAGACATCCTTTACATATGGTTCTCTTTCACTGATGAAGGTGTCAAAATTGGTCTCTAAATACTTGCAGTTAGAAAATCTAGCTGTATTTATTGCATGATCTTTACTGTAAAACAGAGAAATAATTTCTGCTCTGCCTACTTTAAAAATTAAATTAAATTAATATTATATGTGAAATCTCTCTACAAACTTTATGTTTTATAAATGTGAGCTATTCTTATAATTAACTTCCTCAACAGAAGATGTTCTTAAAAGATGGATGGCTTCCCAATGAGTTACTTCCACCTTGGCTCAATCTCCTCTGTGAAATGACTTCCACACCTCTTCTACCATTCTAACTCAAAAAGAATGACTCGCAATTACATTCACTATTAAAAATATCATCAAATAAGAGTGAGACAAACAAGTTATAAGGTGATACCGCAGATGACTCCAGAAGAAAGATTAGTGTACTGTAGTTGGTACACAGCTTGTGTCACTCCTCAATTGTTGATACAAACATTAAACTCCCACACTAAAGCAATAAAATGATATGCAACTAGGAAGCATGGGGAAGTTCATTGAACAGTATATGAAATATAAGAAGAACATACAAAGAAAAATATAGCATGTCCCTATCTTTCAAAATATTTTCTCTCTTTTCCTGGTTGGTTTGGCTCAGCAGTTAGAGCATTAGACCACAGACCAAAGAGTCTCAGGTTTGATTTCCAGTCAAGAGCACATACCTCAGTTGCAGGTTTGATCCCCAGCCCAGGTCGGGGTCATTCGAAAAGCAACCAATTGACGTATCTCTCTCACATCCATGTTTCCCTCTCTCTCTCCTCCCTCTCTCCCTTTCACTCTATCTAAAAATCAATGGACTTCCGGTCAAGATGGCGGTGTAGGTAAACACAGTATCGTGTCCTCCCACAACCACATCAAAGTTACAACTAAACTACATAAAAACCATCATTCAAAAATGCCTGAAATCAAGTTGAGTGAAAGTCCTACAACTACGAAATTAAAGAAGCAGCCACATGGAGACTGGTAGGAGGGGTGGAGGCAGATGGGCAAGTCCCACACCCACGTGTGGCGGATAAAAATCAGGAGGCTACCTCGGCTGGGAAGGTCCTTCCTGAGGACTGAGGGGTCCCCGTCCCACACCAGGTGCCCTGCTCAGGGTTCCAGTGCCAGGAAGAGAAGTCCCCATAACTTCTGGCTGGAAAATCCAGCAGGAACTGAGGCTCAGGGAGGCTGAGGCAGCTGGAGCCCCAGGCAGCTCTTCTTAAAGGGCCCGCATACGGACTTATCGGACTCACTCCCACTAAGCTTGGAGAGGAGACACCTCCAGGGGCGCCAGGGACATACAGGGAAGAACTGAGCTGTTTGGCATTGAAGCGAGGGCTGGAGAGGGGGCTTTCTCCAGGACAGCGTGCTGTCAGAGGTCTTTGTTCCTTTGGTGAGCCCTTCCCTGGGTTGGCAGACAGCCGCCATATCTAGAACTCCAGCAACCTGGCTCACACTGCTAGCCCCGCCCTGATGATTTCCTGAGGCCCTGCCCCACCCAACGTTCAGGCCCACCCAAGCTGATGCCAGTTGCTTAACCATAGGATTGGCCTGTCTTGGATCCTGCTTCAGGTTTTTGTAAATTCTTTCAAACAAGCACATCTGGTCTCAGCTAGCCCCATACCTCTCATCAAGTAATACATAGAAACAAACACAGGGAGGCAGCCAAAATGAGGAGACAAAGAAACAGGTCCCAAATGAAAGAACAGAACACAACCCCAGGAAAAGAACTAAGCAAAATGGAGATAAGCAACCTAACAGATGCTGAGTTCAAAATACTGCTTATAAGGATGTTCAATGAACTTAGTGAGAACCTCAGCAAACTTAGTGAGGGCCTCAAGAGCATAAAAAAGGACCAGTCAGAAATGAAGGATGCACAGTCAGAAATGATGGAGGCACTAACTGAAATAAAGAATAATTTACACAGATTCAATAGCAGAGTAGGTAAAGCCAAGAAGTAAACCATCGATATGGAATATAAGGAAGCAAAAAACACCCAATCAGAACAGAAAAAAGAAAAAAGAATCCAAAAAAATGAGGATAGTGTAAGGAACCTCTGGGACAACTTCAAGCGTGCCAACATTCGCATCTTGGGGGTGCCAGAAAGAGAAAAGAGAGAACAAGAAATCGAAAACCTATTTGAAACAATAATGGCAGAAAACTTCCCTAACTTGGTAAAGGAAACAGACAAACAAGTCCAGGAAGCACAGAGTCCCAAACAAGATGATCCCCAAGAGGCCCACACCAAGACACATCACTGTCAAAGTGCAAAATGTTCAAGACAAAGAATCTTAAAAGCAGCAAGAGAAAAGCAGTTACCTACAAGGGAGCCCCCATAAGACTGTCAGCTGATTTCTCAAAAGAAACTTTGCAGGTCAAAAGGGAATGGCAAGAAATATTCAGAGAGATGAAAAATAAGAACCTACAACCAAGATTACTCTATCCTGCAAAGTTGTCATTTAGAATCGATGGCCATATAAAGAGTTTCCCAGACAAGAAAAAGTTAAAGCAGTTCATCACCACCAAACCAGTTTTATATGAAATGTTGAAGGGTCTTTTTGAAGAAAAAGATAAAATATATGAACAAACAAAATGGCAATGAATACATATCTATCGACAATTGAACCTACAAACAAAATAACAGGCAGAACAGAAACATTCTCATAGATACAAAGAACATTTTGTTGTTTGCCAGATGGGAGGGGGGTTGGAGGAATGGATGAAAAAGGTGAAGGGATTAAGAAGTACAAATTGGTTGCTAGACTCAAAAACTTCAAAGGGAAGGGGGGTTGGGGGGTGGGAAGAAATAAACCAAAGAACTTATATGCATAACCAATGGACACAGACAACAGTGTGGGGAAAAGGCAGGAGGGGGACAGGAGTGGGGAAGAGGGGGTCAATGGGGGGAAATGAGGAACATCTGTAATACATTCAACAATAAAGATTAAAAAATAATGATAATAATAATAAAAATCAATGGAAAAATATCCTGAGGTGAGGATTAAAAAAAAAATACACACACACACACACATTTTTTTCCCCTCACCCTGTTTTGTACATTACACAAAAATTCCACTTTAATGATTTTAAGTGGATTAGAGAGCCTAGGAAAGGCAAGTTAAAATGCACACAAGGATCAAGTGACAGACATGTGACAAAAGTATGCTGTTTAGCTATTTTCTCTGCATCTACTTTGCTGCATAAAAATTCTCTAACTTCAAAATGTATCTTGTAAATCAAAAATTCTAAAATGCTAAAAAGGACATAAAGTAAAGCTCTAACCTTGAGAGTGTAAAGAAATTGACAGTACAAGAAAGACAAAAAGCAGAGTACTGCAGAATGGAAAAAAGAGTCCAAACTAAGAAAAACACAGAAAGAAAGCAACATTCATAAAAAGATTAGTCAAAGCTGCAAAAAATGCGGTCCTAAAAAAGAAAAATCAGATTATAGAGACAAAAGATTATTTGAAAGACAAAAAAAAGCTAATTTTAATTTTTTTTTTATCCTCACCCGCGGACATTTTTCCATTTTTTGTTCAGGGAGAGAGGAACAGAGAGAGAGAGAGAAACATCGACGTGAAAGGGATACATCGAGTGGCTGCCACCCGCACAACCGACCAGGGCCGGGGACAAACTGCAACCGAGGTACATGCCCTTAGCGGGAACCGAACCCGGGTCTCTCAGGACCGCAGGCCGACGCTCTAACCGCTGAGCCAAACCGGCCAGGGCTAATTTTAATTTTTAAGGTTAAAATTTTTATTACTAGGTGAGAAACAGTAATAAAATCCCATTTTAATGAATAATACTGATATATGACATAAACAGACAGGGGTGTCTATACTCTAGTGAATGAACTTCAAATAAATCTATTACATTAAAAATTCTATAGAGTTGCCCTGGCCGGTTTGGCTCAGCGGTTAGAGCGTCGGCCTGCGGTCGGGAGAGACCAGAGTTCGGTTCCCGCTAAGGGCACGTACCTTGGTTGCAGTTTGTCCCCAGCCCTGGTTGGGTCGTGTGGGTGACAATCACTCGATGTGTCGCTTTCACGTCGATGTTTCTCTCTCTCTCTCTCTCTCTCTCCCTCCCACTCTATCTGAACAAAATATCGGGGGAAAAAATGTCCTCGGGTGAGGATTAAAAAAAAAAGAATTCTATAGAGCAGATACAACTTGAAGTGTCTGCAATTGTCACAGAGACATCAATGAACAAAGACATCAATGAACAAACATAATTTGCTTCAGCAAGTTCTGTCACGTCTGTAATTTGTGTTGGTGGGAGACCAAGTGAATATAAGATGAAGGCAGCAAAGGAAAAAAAATAACAACCTACATAAGTTAAAAAAAGGGTGAAACAACACAGCATTCCATAACTGAGAGTTATAGATAGCAGAGGGCATAAATATAGATTTGTAACCTTTATCTTTTCTGGGTAGCATCACTTTTAGCTTTTTCCACAAGTTGGGGAACTCAGGTCCTGCATCATAAGAAATCTCAAAAAGTTCATAAAATGTTCCCCGAAAAAACTCATGAAGCACATAATCAAATACTTATTTTATTTAAAAATAACAATAGAAATTCTTTGAACTAACTTCTATATCTGATGGCTCTAAGTTTCCATTTAAATGACTTAGAAAAAATCCAATTTTGACTTTTATGAGGTTTGTTTAAATGGGATTTTTGAACCTACATGATAAAATTAATGCAAAACCAAATAGCACTAGAGTGCTTTCCTCATACCACACATCTGAAAACTATAACTCACCACAGCAATGATAACTGTATAGGTCACAAGAAACTTGAAGGTTCAGAGTATGTTTGAGTATGTATTTTTAACAGCAAATAGTCACTAAAGCATGTAAATCCTTTTAAAACTCTATTATGGCCAAGATATTGTAAATACACTATACTCAGAAGGGTTTCTAGATGAGGGGGAAAAAAAAATCAAGGCACAATATGGCTGAACAATGTAGTCTTGAAAATTTGTACTGTTGGCCAGAAATCGAAACAGCAAAACCTGTTCCTAGCTGTACATGTATCAGATTCAGCTGTATGCTCAAGAATAGACTGTCATCTATATGGCAAAACCACATAGATTTTTCCTCAACGTTATGTTTCTCTTATTTTTGATTTTTTAAATAAAAAATTTAAAACTGATACCAAGCAATTATAATCTCCTTGATTTTGTTTTCAAAATTGTATTTTTTTTTTTATCCTCACGTGAGGACATTTTTGCATTCATCTTCAGATAGAGGGGAAGGGAGAGAGGGGGAAGAGAGAGAGAGAAACATCAATGTGAGAGAGACACATCGTGTGGTTGCCACCCACACGACCCCGGGGCCAGGGACAAACTGCAACTGAGGTACGTGCCCTTTTGCAGGAACCGAACCCGGCCTCTCTGGTCCGTGGCCAATGTTTTAACCACTGAGCCAAACTGGCCAGGGCCAAAATTATATTTTTTTAATAAGAGTGAATCATCAAATATAACCCAGTAATTTAATTCTTATGGATTTCAGTTAAATTTTATACTCTATTCATAAAAAATTAATCCACAAATCCAAGAAGGGGAAAAAAAAAAGACATTTTTCCAATTTTGAGACTAGAAAACATGGTTGCCATATGTGTAATGAACAATGGGGTAAATGAGGGACAGCCCATGGATGTCATACGTGCATTCAACATATTTATAGTCACAAATAAAACCACAAATAGTATACAGCTCTGCTCCTAGCCAGATATATTTTCTCCACAGTTCTATCCAAATCGAGTTTGTCATCTGACATAGCACTTGTTCCTTTCTGTTAATGCATTCAGGTTTTCTTTTAGGTCATCTTACCTTTTGTAAATTGGCCCTGTCTGATGGTGGAATCATCTCAGGAGTAAGAATGTGAGGCGGATCAATGCCCTTTATTAACTTCTGATTGATTAAGTGAAAAGCCAAGGCAAACTGATCCTTTGAAAGCTTCCCACAGTCCTTTGTGTCACATAATGCCCTGTACAAATAAACAAAATGAACAGTATATAAATGCCACAACTACCACTCTAAAAACCTAACATGACTATGTAGCTTTTTACAAATGATCAGTTGAATTAAAAAAGAAAGTCAGCCCCGCTGGTGTGGCTCAATGGATTGAGCATCGTCTCACGAACTGAAAGGTCTTGATTCTATTCTGGGTCAGGGCATATGCCCGAGTTTTGGGCTCCATCCCCAAACAGGGGCAGGCAGGAGGCAGCCAATCAATACTTCCTCTCACATCAATATTTCTATCTCTCTCTTGATAAGAACATATTTTAAAAGAGAAAGTCATACTAATTTGTGGCTTGCCCAAACTCATTCAAATGTTAGAAATGAGAGATCAAAGAAAGAGAGAGAAAGACAGAATGTTCACACTGGTGCTGAGCAGAGGACTCTAATCTGAGTTTGTTTTGTAACTTTTCTTACAAATTTCCACAACCACTCCTGCGTAAAAGTGGTAGTGGAGCAAAGAATCCCAACATTGTTTACTCCCAACACTTCACATTAAAAGATGTAAAAAAGTGAAATGTTAAGTTTCAACAAATTTGGTTCGCTGGTGGTATTAGAATGATTCTAAAACAAGCAAAAATTTCCATGAGAGCTTGCTTCTTGCAAGTTGGAGTAGGAGGGTATAAGGATCACCAAGTCAAAGCAGAAACAACAGCTGCAAATTGAGATCACATGTGGAGAAAAGGCAGCAATCCGGAAACCTTTACAAAATCACTTGAAGAGAAATAGCAAATGTTTTATTCTATTTTCTTTTTCATAAGCTTAGCTTTCTGAAGTCCTGATCTGTTTGATCCATTGAAAACCAGTATGGCCTGATGAAAAAACTATAGGTTACAGTGTCAAAAAATCATCGAATTCCAGTTTTACTACTTATTTATTCTTGTGACCTTAGCTAAATTTTTTAACCTCTCCAAGCCTTAATTTCTTTATCTATAAAGTGGAAATAAGAGCCCTTACCTGTGTTGTTCCGTGGTTAGAGTGTCAACCCATGCACCAAAGGGTCTCGGGTTTGATTCCCAATCAAGGGCACGCACCTGGGTTGCAGGTTTGTTCCCTTGCCCTGGCTGAAGCACGTATAGGAGGCAACCATTCGATGTGTCTCTCTCATATCAATGTTTCTCCCCCCCCCACTTCCACTCTCTCTAAAAATCAATGGAAAAAATATCCTCAGGTGAGAAGTAACAAAAATAGAGATAACATCCATCTTGCAAGATTACTATGAGAATTAAAGACACAGTTCATAAAAAGTGTGGGCATAATGCCACATCCATGACAACTGTCATTTTACTGAGCATAGTGCCTAGCCTAGGCACTCAAAAGTGGCAGCTATTATTAGTTGTGCACATAATCTTCCCCAGTATTGGGTTCTTTTCCTTTTAAGACAGATCTACTGTTCTCCTTTAGTCTTTTCTAAGTTTCTCTTTTCAACTATGTGGTTCCACTTCTAAATGTTTGCTGCCCCTTGAAAACCTCAAGGTAACTTCTGCTAGTCACATGAACTGGCAGCTGGCACACTATAAAGCATTTTCATGTACACTGTCTCCTTTAATGTGACATTCACTAGAGACACTAATGCTTGTCTTTTTAAGGACCAAGTATGTACTTCCTATGTGAAGGTATAAAAGTACACATATACCCTACAGAATTATAAAAGTATGCCTTGAAGACACTTTAAATTTCAATTTTGGATTCTCCCTTAAAAATTTAAGTTTAATGAAATGATATAGATGCTGCATTTTAACATTCTAATAACAATTAACTGACACTGTCAATCTTACAAAACTTCAGATAACCCATCCTCAAGCTTCTGTCCATTATAAGAAATGCTGTTTTAAATTTTTCTATAAAGAATTCTAAAACAAAAAGTTTCCTATTTACAAATGCCTAAAAATAATAATGCACAAAACTTGATTTAATGTAAAACCATATTTGTTTTATAAATCAATTTAAAAAATTTTATTCATTGATTTGAGAGATAGGGAGGGAGGGAAGAAGAGGGGGGGGAGAGAGAGGGAGAGAGGGAGAGGGAGAGAGAGAGAGAGAGAGAAAGAGAGAGAGAGAGAGAGACAGGGAAACACTGATTTGCTATTCCACTTACGGATGCATTCATTGGTTGTTTCTTGTGTGTGCCCTGACTGGAGAATCAAACCCTCAACATTGGCATATCAGGACAATGCTCTAACCAACTGAGCTACTCGGCCAGGGTAAATCAATTTAAATAAAAGTCTTACCAAATATGGGCTAGTAAGGCAGAAGGTAAACCTGTCTTCAAAAATATTTCACGAACTTCCAATCCAGACACAAATCCATCCATATCTTTATCAGTTTTCAGGAAGATTTCATCATATTTAGCTTTTTCTGCAGGCGATACAACCCACTACACGGAAAAAAAAAATATATATATATATATATTTATACACACATACATACATACAAACATACAGTATTTCTGCCAAAATGAAACAAAACTTTGAAGTGATATCATTGAACCCATGACAGTATCTGTCACAAATTCTGAGCAATTCTACCTCACTAACTACTACGTACAGCAACAGTATATCATTTTCATTACAACCCCAATCAAAACGCTATGGTAAAGAGAACATTATAGAAGAAAAATATAGGTCATTGGGACTACATTTATAGATGCCCATTTTACTTTTTTTAAGTAATGAGTAAATTCAAGCACAGTTAACTCTTGGTAATGACCAGATGAATACAGGTAACTGGGAGAGTATATAAACAAAATATTTAGATAATTCTCAATCTCCATTTTTTAGAGTTTCATTCAGCATTGTTAACTATAGCCAAATTTGGCTGATTTGCATGGCCTGTCATTATTTCCCTTTACGCAACCTGACAAAAAGTAGGTTGGAGGGAAAAAAGGCCTTGGAAAACCCAAAATTGGATCATTTGAACCCAAAGAATCAAGAGTTAACTAGAGAGTAAACAAACAAAAACACCTATTAACTATGCCAAGGCAAGCATGCCAGATTAGGATGGAGTATCTGCTACCTCCAACTTTAATTCTAGGTAAATCAAAGCAAAGCCAATGAACCTAAGTAAGGCCAACTGCAGAAGGATTATCTATTTTCTTTGGGACATCACATTATGCAGATTCAACCAGAGGGAGCTCTAAATCTTGATCCCACTGATTGTTTCTTCAATCTTCATCAAGCAATCAACTGTTAAATGCCATGCACTTTGTTTTTAAAAAAAAGTTGTTTAACACTGATAAATCTATACCTGTCTTAACGGTGCTTTGGTAGGTAAAATGCCTACAGGTGGTAAGAAGTGGTAAGATTCCTTTGCTGATGCTGATGTGGGGATCAACCGCATAGAGCCTGATATACTGACCGTTTTCCTCTTAGAAGGTGGCACCAAGGCTGGAGGCAAGGACATTGGCACAGGTTCTTTCTCCAATGCGCAGTATACCAAAAACATGGCCTTCAAAATAGATGAACCAGGGTCATATATATTAAAATCACTTAATAACATCCACCCATTGAATTGACTACTGTCCAATAACAAAACATCTTCAATCTGTCTCAAATCCCTTTTTAAAGAAATTAGGCTGGGAAGAAAAGAAAGTGGAAAAGAGGAAGAAAGTAAAGAAAGGAGGAAGAAAGAAAAATAAATCAAGGCTAAGCAACTTTTAGGAAGATAATCTGAGTAACAAAAACTTAGACACACATCCTTCAACTAAAGTTCTTACAATGTCAAAAGCAAACAACCTGGGGAAAAAATATTTGCAAAGAAAAATCTAATCTGCCTAATTATATAGAGTTCTTAGAAATTAACAGAAAAACAGCCCTGGCCAGTTTGGTTAAGTGGTTAGAGCGTTGGCCCGCGGACCAGAGAGTCCTGGGTTAGGTTCCCGATAGGAGCATGTACCTAGGTTGCAGTTTGTCCCTGGCCCCGGTTGGGGTCGTGTGGGTGGCAACCACTTGCTGTGCCTCTCTCACATTGATGTTTCTCTCTCTCTCTTCCTCCCTCTCTCCCTCCTGCTCTATCTGAAGATAAATGCAAAAATGTCCACAGGTGAGGATAAAAAAAATTAAAAAAAGAAAGAAATTAATAGATAAACAAAACAATACCCACCAAAATCCAATAGCAAAATAGGCAGAGTATGAACAGATATTTTACAGAAAAATAAACACTACAATGTTCTTATTCTTTAACATAAAAAAATGTGCTCACTTTCACTCTCAAGAAAAATGTAAGTTAAAATTATACTAAAATACAATTTTCCACCTAACTAGCAAAAATCCAGAGTTTCATAATGTACTTTGTTAGCTAGACAGGGCAAACAGGTATAGTGCTTGTGGGAGCTCAAAATGGTACAAAAATTATGAAAGGCAAATTGACAACATTTACCAAATTTATTTATGTCCCCTTTGGCTCAGCAATCACACATCTGGAAATCTATCCTCAGATTTACCTGCCTACATAGGAAATACTGTATGAAAAAAATTAATTACAGAATTTCTTGTATCAGCACCCAAGTGCTCATCAACAGAAGATTGGTTAAAAAAAATTATAGTATATCCATAAATGAAATACTATGAAACAAAAAAAGGGGGGAAGGGGCATTCTGTATCCTAACTGTCGTGGTACCTTCATAGGTATATACAACTGTTAAAACTCATCAAATTACATACTTAAATGCAGTTCATTGTATATGTAGTCCACAATAAAGGTGACTAGAAAAAAAAAAAAATCATGGAGCTCTCTGTATGAAAAGATATCCAAGACACACTACTAAACATGAAAAAAGTAAAGTGTTGAACAGTATGTATACTGTGTTATCTTCTATGTTAAGGGGTAATAATTATTCATATTTGTTTATATTTGCATTAAGAAATTCCAGAAGGATAAACAAGAAACTAAGAAAAGTGGTTCATTATGGAGTAGGTGTAAATGGAGCAGTTGAGGGCAATGACAGGACTGAGATTTTTTTCCACTGAATATATTCTTATATTGTACTGATTTCTGAACCATGAGAATGTATTATCTATTAAAATTATTTTAAATTATTAAATATATAAAGCACTTGCACAAAGTGAGACAACCTTCATAGACTGTGCCAGGATATCCCTTCCACTCTGAATTCAAGGAACCTTCAAGACTTTCAAAAGATGAAATTTTCCATAACTATCTTCAAACATATGAAATTACTCAGAGCAATTTGGAACCTCCACAAAGATTCCAATAACAACTGGAAGGAAGCTTTAATATTTCTTAATTTTTTTTTCTTCCATTACAAATGGCAGTTCTTCTCAGAATAAGTCTGCTTCTAATTCTAAGTTTTGTGGAGGATTCAAATCAGCATTTATTGAGCACCTAATACAACCCATGATTTCTGTGATTACTAATATCATTTTACAAATGAAGAAACTGAGGCTAAGAGATGCTAAGTAACTTGTCTGATATATTTTTAAGAAGTGATAAGGTAAGGTTCAAACCAAGACCTTCTGTTTTATTCCAGATTTGATCAGCTTTATGAGGAGGACACATGTACTTTTATAATATGATGCTCTCTCGCTCTGGCCAGTTTGGCTCAGCATTTGGAGCGTCGGCCTGCAGACCAGAGAGTCCTGGGTTAGGTTCCCGCTAGGGGTGTGTTATCAAAAAAAATATATGTATATGATGCTCTCTTCTACAAGCAATAAAACTAACCTTTAACCCATTGGTACCCAAATTGCAACAGGCATCAGAACTACCTGGATAGCTTGATAAAGTACAGATTTCTGGGCCCCACTCCCAGAATTCTAGAATCATTAAGTCTGCAGTTGGGCAGGAGAATTTGTATTTCTAGGAAGTTCCCAGGTGATGATGATGCTGTTTATCCTAAGACCACATTTAACCATTTGATCCAACCAACAATTCTTCAACTTGAAGAATTCAATTTCAGTTTTATTTTATTTATTTATTTTTCAATTTCACTTTTGGAAACACACAAACTTTCTATCTCCAAAAGCTCAAAACTCCAGAAAGTAAACAATCTGGCTAGCACATACTTTCAACCAAATTCACAATATATATAATACCATCAGATTGACACTAAGCTAAAAGAAGCAACTAACATGCACATTAAAGGTCAGCATTCTTCTTGCTGCAGATCGGAGTCATTTCCTGGAAAAGCGAACATGAAGCAAATAAAGCAACATCAGCCATCTGCTGCCAACAGACAACACATTTTCTGAAAGTTAAAAAAATTCTATATTATTAATTTCATGTTGTCTTGAAAATAGTTTCCTTGACAAAAATGAAGTCAATTTTTCTACCAAACAAAAGAGAAAAAGTGAACTGTATACCACTGGGTTGTGACTTTATTTTCTTATAACACTGTACTTTATCCTAATCAAAGTCTGCCACTGAAACAAATAACAGCATTGAAACAAATACAGCTACTAAATCAAAGGATGCACCATATACACACACACACATAAAAAGTACCTGGCCGGTAACTAGTTTTAAAATTAAATGTATTAGCAAATGCATTTACACAGCCAGAAATAGACACTTAACTAAGAAGCATTTAGAATATCTTTTTTATTATTTCAATGTAAAAATATCAAAAATAAAACTAAGCTTACCCCAAGTTAGCAGAGAAAAGGACAAAGAGAAACTAAAAAATAATAAAATTGATATAGTGGATTTGCAGACATCTAAAATATTCTGAACAGAAATGTTAGCATATCCAGAGAACATACATAAAAATCGATCATGAACCTAGCAACAAAGAAAACCTTAACAAATTATTTTAAGCAGATATTTTAAAAACCATATTCTCAAATAATAATCAGCTAAAACTATATATAAAGGGAACAAAAAACAAACACACATACTTACTTTGAAAGTATGAAACATTCCTAAACAGATGATCAAAACAACTAAAAATTATCTAGCCCTGGCCGGTTTGGCTCAGCGGTTAGAGCGTCGGCCTGCGGTCCAGAGAGACCCGGGTTCGGTTCCCGCTAAGGGCATGTACCTTGGTTGCAGTTTGTCCCCGGCCCTGGTCGGTTGTGTGGGTGGCAGCCACTCGATGTGTTCCTTTCACGTCGATGTTTCTCTCTCTCTCTCTGTTCCTCTCTCTCCCTCCCACTCTACCTGAACAAAAAATGGAAAAATGTCCTCGGGTGAGGATAAAAAAAAAAAATAAAGAAAAAAATAAAATCAATAAAGAAAAAAAAATTTTTTTTTAAATTATCTAAAAAGTAGTGAAAAAAAGAATTCTATGTATCAATATCAATGGAATACAGTTAAACCTATATACTGGGAAAAAATTGTTCTTTAATTGCTTTGAATATTAAAGATAAAAATAAAGGGACTTAGAACTCATCTTCAGAAATTATAAAAAAAAACTAGGAAGATGGAATTAAGATAAAAGTTAGAAAGAATAAAAGTCAAGACATAACAGAAAGAACAAAGAAATCCAAAAGACATCTCTATTTAAAGATCATTCTAGATAAAATCCAATTAAACAAAAACGAGAGGGAGAAAAAAATACATAAGATTTGGAATGAAAAAGGAGTACAACCCCAAACCAAGATGAAAAAAATAACGTAAATAAATCTGTGCCAACAAGTTTGAAAGTCAAAGAAATGGATGGTTCCCTAGCCAAAAAAAAAGAAAAAGAAAATTTGAACAGACCAATTTTCAAATAAGAGATTAAAAGGGGGATTAGAGATTTACCACTTGTGAGTTCACAACAGAATTTTACCTAACCTTTAAGAAAGAGATGAATATACTGCTATTTGAAATTAACCACTCAATTACTAAGGATAACATGTCTTCAGATAAGATGTCAAAACTTCCACAACATATATAAATGAAGTGAAACTAAAGTGTTATTCATGTTTTCCTTTAATAAAATACATGAAAATTTGGGGGTATATGTTAAGTAAAATTATCCCATAGCAGAAGCAGGTACAGAGATGCTTGGTCAATTCAGGATACAAAAGATACTACTACTCAGCATCTTTACAGTGCATTATCCAAAGTATATATCTGTATGTACCTTAAAGTCAAATAAAATGAAGATAGCAAACATATACTTTTTCTATTACCCATTTGTTTAAAAATAGTTATTGATTAACTACAAATTCTAGGTAAAAATATTCATACCAACAATCTTAGGGAAATAAGTTTTCCTATAAGGATGAACTAAAAGGGGAAAAGTAAGCTTGAGAAAACCATTAAGATGTTTAAGATTTTAAGAGTATTTGGTTACTTACAACTGCAAACTCATCTCTGTCAAGCATTCCATCATGGTCAATATCACTCAGCTCCCAAACCTTAAAAAGAAAAGAATTGAGAAAGATAATGTTCTTTCATTTAATGTGCTACATGTAAATACCAAATATGAAAATAGAGGTAAATGTTTCGCCTAAATATCATATTTTTTTCTGAGAAATTTCAATTATGCTGACTACTTTATTACATTGCTATTATATGCTATATTAACATTACTATAAAAAGAAGTAATAATTCAATTAAGTGTTTTTTAAACAGAAATTCTTTTACAAAATTTTTAAACTATTTTCTTCCTTTCAAGTTATAAAACAATTATGTACATAGTATTTTAGACAACTACAATGCTTTTTCACAAATATCAACTCAGTTAACTTATGCAACAGTTCCATGTGGTTCCATTTGTTTTAGACATGAGACTACATGACCTATCTAGGATCATGCAACTATTATTAAGTAAAGGAATAAGTTTTCAGTGTGAAGATTTTTCCATTATTGTCTTCCCTACACTACAGAATCTCCAATCAACTAAAAGAAATATGCAATACTATGTTATGAATCATTAGCCAGCTAATGTCCAGGGCTTACAAAGAAAAAATAAAATCTAAAAGGCCCTGGTTGATTTGGTCTAAATCTAGAATAAATTCCATAGTTTTGGACCAGCTATAAAACCATGTTAAACCCTGAGATGAAGATATTCAAACATTCAACAAAATCTCACTTGAGGCAGGAAGAGAAAGTGAACTGAAGAGAGACAGGAGTGGAGATAAGCAAGTACCTGATCATTAATGCCTTAAAAGGAATCTGGACTTCATCCTAAATGTAATGGGAAGCTACTAAGAGGGTTAGGTTTACATTCAAAAAGAGATAACAGGCCCTGGCAGGTTTGGCACAGAGGTTAGAGCATTGGCCTGTGCACTGAAGGGTCACAGGGTTGATTTCCAGTCAAGAGCACATACTTGCAGGTTCAATCCCTGGCCCTGGTTGGCGTGCATGCAGGAGGCAACCAATCAATGTGTCTCTCTCACATCTATATCCACACACCCCCACCCCGACCCTCTCAAATCAATAGAAAAAATATCCTCAGGTGAGGATTAACAAAAAAATATAAAAGGATTATATTGTAGTTTAGAAATCTCACACTGGACCACACAGTGGAGAAATGATCAGTGAGATACAATACTAGAAAATGGCTTTTATATCAATATTTATTGAGCACCTAACCTATACAACACTGATCCAGCAGTAGTACTGTTGGTGGTATGGTAGTAGTCATTATCATCATCATTGGCTGTGTTAAGTAGTATATGCTAAGTACTTTACATACATTATCATATTTAATCCTTACAACTCTATAATCTGTGAATCATACTCATTTTAAAGATTAGAAAACTAGCCCTGGCTGGTTTGGCTCAGCGGTTAGAGCGTCGGTCCACAGACTGATGAGTTATGGGTTCAATTCAGGTCAAGGGTACGCACCTCAGGTGCCGTTTGTCCCTGGCCCTGGTCAGGGTCACACGGGAGGCAACCAGTCGATGTCTCTCTCTCACATCGATGTTTCTCTCTCTCTCTCCCCCTTCCACTCTATCTGAACAAAAATGGAAAAATGTCCTCATGTGAGGATTAAAAAAAAGATTAGAAAACTAAGACATGCTTTTCTAATGATTTGCCCAAGATCACACAACTAAGAAGTGGTGCAGTCAGGATTTGACCCCACAGAGTCTGATTAAGCAAGGAATTAAAGAAAGGACTAGAGGTTTAATGAGAATAGATAAGGTTAAAATATGAAAAGTGGGGGAGAAAAATCACTGTGGAAACAGTACAAGAGTGGCTGGCAGTAAGGAAAGCCCAGCTGAAGTGGGTGATCATGAAATTATGACAATACCAATCTTTATTAGATTTTCTCAGTAGTCCATATGCAACCGCAGAGAAGGTAGATACTTAGCTTCATGCAAAGCTGGATTTTCACCACACAAGCAAGAAGTTAGAAAATGGTAAAGGGAGCTAAGGATACTGACATGAAACTGTGGACCATAAAACTCCAAGTTGGATGAGGAAAAAAGTAAGTTCAAAAAATAGAGAAAGTAAAGGAGTCTGAGATTTAAAGATCTTGATGAAGTCAAAGAAGCAGTCTTGCAAGTATCTAGGAAAGAGTTCTAGAAAGGCAAGAAGTTCTATTTAGAGAACAGAATTTATGATTTCAGAGATGAAACTATTCCTTATGACAAGGCCCCATGATACAGCCATGGAGTAGGTGGCAGATGAAATTAAGTCAAGGAATTGAGAGGTCGGAGTGTACAACACAAATAAAAAAAGACCTACTTAAGGCGCTTCTAGATAGAGCTAATTGCAAACACACATATTTTAGAAGGAATAACCAAATAAATAAATAAATTGGCAATGATTTTATGTATTAAGTCAGAACACAAAATTCTATAACACAACTTCAAAATAGGATCTGTGCATTTTTTTAACAATGAGCTGTAAGTGTTCCTGGTAGATACAAAATTAAAATACATATAAATTACAGTTAGAAGTTAATAATATCTTACTCTTCCAAGGATATCCACAGGTAACTTAGAGTTAAGCAACACTGGTTTCACTTTATCACCAGACAGAAATCCATTTGCTGGGCTTAAACTATCAAAAATTGCATCATACTTGGCCTTATCTTCAGACTATAATATAAAAAAAGATCACAAATTAAAACAATAGTGAAAATAATTTCACTGAAGTTAAAAAATCAAGCCCTCAAAGAATGAATAGCATATTTTAAAAAACTCATTATTTAAAAAACATTTTTCACTTTTATCAAAATACATTATAGTAAACGGTAATTGAAGTTCCTCCACCCAAGAGTTCAGTATCCCCTCCATTCCTTTTGTAGATGGATCACTATCTTTGCTTTTCTAATGTTTAGAATCACAAGATTTCAGTGATAAAAGGGCTTTCAGAAAAGCACTCAGTCCAACCCTCTTACTTAAATAGATCCATAGCAAGGAAGTAACTTCTATAAAAACACACATCAAGCCCTGGCCGTTTTGGCAGTTAGAGCACTGGCCTGCGGACCACAGAGTCTTGGGTTCAGTTCCCATCAGGGGCACATACCTCGGCTGCGGTTCAGTTTGGTTCAGTCTGGCCCTGGTCGGGGTGGTGTGGGAGGCAACCAATTGATGTCTCTCTCTCTCTCTCTCTTTTTTTTAAATCCTCACCAGAGGATATGTTTTTATTTATCATCAGATAGAGTGGGAGGGAGAGAAAGAAACATCAATGTGAGAGAGACACATCAACTGATTGCCTCCCACACGACCCAATCAGGGCCAGGACTAACCGCAACCAAGAGACATGCCCTTGACCAGAATTGAACCCGTGACTCATTGGTCCACGGGTCAACACTCTAACCACTGAGCAAAACTGGCCAAGGCGTGTCTCTCTCACATCAATGTTTCTTTCCCTCCCCACTCCCACTCTATTTTAAGATAAATGGAAGAAAATCCTCGGGTAAGGATTAAAAACAAACAAACAAAAAACACAGCTAAATAGGGACATTCCAAGACTTTCTAAACACGGTGTAGTTGTATTTCAAACTCAAATAACTTTTAAAAAGAAAATCACTTCCATAGGAATAAACATCAAGTTTACCCCATTTTTCCCAAAGCAATATATTTTATCAATAACAAGAATTATCTAAACTCCTGGAAAGTTACTTGTATAACATAAAAAAATATGTTCTTGATTTGTCAAGTCCAAATCCCTACACTTTTTTTTTTTATCCTCACATTTTTTTGTTCAGACAGAGAAGGAGGGAGAGAGAGAAAGAGAGAGAAAAACATCCACCTGAAAGGGACACATCAAGTGGCTGCCACCCACATGACCTAACCAGGGCCAGGGACAAACTGCAACCGAGGTACGTGCCCTTAGCGGGAACCAAACCCGGGTCACTCTGGACCACAGGCCGATGCTCTAACCGCTGAGCTAAACCACCCAGGGCCAAATCCCTACACTTTTTTAAATTAGTTAAGAGGCCCTGCCAGTTTGGCTCAGCCATTAGAGCAACAGGTGGACCAAAGAGTCCCATGTTCGATTCCAGCCAAGGGCATGTACCTTGGTTGTGGTTCATCTCTGACCCCAGTTGGGGTTGTGTGGGAGGCAACCAATTGATGTTTCTCTCTCTCTCTTTCTCTTCCTCCTTCTCTCCCTCCCACTCTATCTGAAGATAAATGGAAAAATATCCTCAGGTGAGGATTAAAAAAAAATTAGTTAAGAGTACACAACATACATACAAACCGAAATGGTTTGCTGACAAAACTGTACATATTTATTGAAGGACATTGATCTGCTATATTCTAAAAGTATTTTAAAATTAAAGTTTTAAAAATCCGATAAGGCCCTGGCCAGACAGCTCAGTTAGTTAAAGCATCATCCCAATATGCCAAGATGCAGGTTGGATCCCTGGTCAGGGCACATCCAAGAATTGATCTCTCTCTCTTGTAAATCAATTTAAAATATATATATATATATATATTTTTATCCTCACCTGAGGATATTTTTCCATTTTTTGTACAGATAGAGTGGGAGGGAACCGAACCCGGGTCTCTCCGGACCGCAAGCCGACGCTCTAACCACTGAGCCAAATTGGCCAGGGCTAAAATATTTTTAAATAAATAAATTGTATTTTAAAATAATCTGCTAAGCCTGGCTGGTGTGGCTCAGTGGATGGAGCATCATCCCACGGACTGAGAGATCCTGGTTCAATTCCCAGTCAGGCATGTGCCCCAGGGTCAGGTCCGATCCCTAATGGGCGATGTGCGGGAGGCAGTCGATTGATGTTTCTCTCTCACATTAATGTTTCTATCTCCCTCTCTAAAAAAATCAATAAAAACATATTTACAAAAATAATGATTTGATAGATAGCTATAACCAGTGTGATGTCTCCAAATACCTATAAAGCAAAATACCCATTTCAGAAAATAATTTCATAAAGAATTGCTTGTTTTATAGCTCTACAAACAGTACTTACTTAACCAGAATTTTCCAGCCACACATAACAGCAGTGGGGTAAACTAGACATAATACCAGTGGGCTAAAATGTTCATCAAATATTTTAGTTAGTACAGGATTATATCACCGTTTTTAGTTTACACTATAACAGGAATGAGATTAAGCGAATACTGTCACAAAATGATTGACACTGCTGTAAGATCCCTCCAAAATTTTTTAAGTACCAGTATTTCCCAAACAGTAAAAAATAAAAGTCTAATGAAGATTGCAATATATTTCGAATGTAGACCGAGAGGATGTTCTGGGAAAAAAGCAGGGGTAAGGAGAGAAAAGTTACAAAGTCTACTTACTTTTACAGCCCATGGCAGCTCATTTGCAGAGGTTCCACTGATTAGCAAGGGACTGCTGGTATCATGCTAAAAAGGAAAATATAGCACGTGAAGGGCTGAAATCCTCACATCAATAAACAATGAAGAAAAATAAGTCCTTGCGTTTAAATACATTCATATAAAATGTTGGCTCTCAATGAACACACACTCTATTTTACGTTAATCCTACTAGACCACCTAAATACAAAAGAAACAAAAACAGTTAGCTGAGTTAGCTGCATAAATGAATGTGGAACACTAAATAAAACTTAAGTATTACTAAAGAAACCTAATATAACTGACATCAAGATAAGGATATGTAAATGGAACAAAAATATTTACTGCCCTGTTAACTTATGACTTCTTCCAAGCATTCTTTAAGGAAAGCCAACTGGGACAAGAACTAACTTAAGATTTATAAGTTAAAAGTACATAAATCTACCAACAGCATGCCCAACTAATTATGCTTATCTGCTTGTAGAGACAGATAAATATATGAGCAAATTTTATAATAATACAGTTAGGCAACAAATCCCTAAATTATCCCTCTGGCTCCATGACTCCAAGCCTAAACTCTGAAGTGCAGAAATTCTTAAAACTAAGGTTAAATTAATAATATTCAGACCAAACACTTTCAAAATACTGAATTTAAAAACAAGCAAGAAGAGTCATGAAACTTCTGAAAAAAGGAGTAGGGTAGACAAGCCTAGCCTTATCAGATATAAAAACAAATTACCAAATCTGATCATTAAAAAAATGCCAAATTAGCATTATGGATAAACAAATAGATCAATGAACAGAAAAATCCAGAAAGAAACCAAAATACATATGAAAATTTAGCACATGATTGAGATGGCATTTCAAATCAGTAAGGAAAATATGATTATCAATAAATTGCATTAGATCTATAAAGTAGCCATCTTTTAAAAAACATAAATCTGAATTCATATTCATACCTTACATCAGGACTAACATAAATGTGATAAAAGAAACCATCAAATATTTAAATCCTAATAATTCATATACCTAAAAAACAATGATCTCTTTATAGAAAAAAGTCACCATAAACAAAGTAAAAAGACAAATGACAAACTGGGAAAAAAATATTTGCAATTCATATAGACAAAGAGCTATTTTCCTAATATATCAAGAACCTCTAGAATTCAATTAAAAAACAGACCAAAAGGCACAAAAGGCTAGGCTATAAACAGACATTTCAGAGAAAGGCTATGTAAATAAATAATAACCATGAGAAAAACTATTCAACCTCATTCCATAAAACCAAAAGGACAAATTAAAACCACACACTCCATTTGTTACCTATCAAAATGACAAAGTTTGCCCTGGCCGGTTTGGCTCAGCGGTTAGAGCATCAGCCTGCGGTCCCGAGAGACCCGGGTTCGGTTCCCGCTAAGGGCATGTACCTTGGTTGCAGTTTGTCCCCGGCCCTGGTCGGTCGTGTGGGTGGCAGCCACTCGATGTGTCCCTTTCACATCGATGTTTCTCTCTCTCTCTCTCTCTTCCTCTCTCTCCCTCCCACTCTACCTGAACAAAAAATGTCCTCTGGTGAGGATAAAAAAAAAAAAAAGATATTCAAAATGACAAAGTTCCAAAAGTTTGACAACAGTATGTTAGCAAAAATGCACTCAACCAATTGCTGGTGGGAGAATGAACTAGTGCAACCACTACAGACGACACTGATATTATATGTAAAAATTACAAATGTACAAACTTTTTTTTTTATCCTCACAGGAGGATATTTTTCCATTTTTGTTCAGAGTGGGAGGGAGGGAGAGAGAGAGAAAAAAAAACATTGACGTGAAAGGGACACATCTAGTGGCTGCCTCCCACACAACCCCAACCAGGGCTGGGGACTAATCGCAACCGAGGTACATGCCCTTGACCGGAATCGAACCCACAACTCATTGGTCCGTGGGCAACGCTCCAACCACTATGCCAAACCGACCAGGGCACAAACGTACAAACTTTTGAAACAGCAATTCCATTTCTGAGAATTTACATATATAAATACATTTCTGCATATAAATAATAATAAATATTCAAGGTTATGTACTGCAGCAAGTTTAAAAAATATTTTTATTGCCCTGGCCGGTTTGGCTCAGCAGTTGGAGTGTCGGCCCTTGGACTGATGAGTCATGGGTTTGATTCCAGTCAAGGGCACGTGCCTCAGTTGTGGTTTGTCCCCAGCTCTGGTTGGAGTTGTTCAGGAGGCAGCCAGTCAATGTGTCTCTTTCACATCAATGTTTCTCTCTCTTTCTCTGTCTCTGCCTTCCTCCTCCCTTCCCACTCTAACTGAGGATAAATAGGTAAAAAAAAAATATCTTCGGGGAGAAGGGAGAGAGAGAAACATCGATGTGAGAGTGAAACATGGATTGGCTGCCTCCTGCACACCCCCCACCAGGTATCAAGGCCCCATCCCAGGCACGTGCCCTGAACCAGCAACCTTTTGGTGCATGGGATAACACCCAATCAACTTAGCCACATTGGTCAGGGTGCACTGCAGCATTTTTTAAAATAAAAGAGTAGAAACAAGCTAAAAGCCTATCAATAGAAAGTTAAATAAAGTATGGTGAATAGAAGCAAAAATAGAATGCAGCTATAAAAAAGAATGAGGAAGCTTTTCAGCAATGATATATAAAGATGTCCAAAACATATTGTTATTAAAATAAAGTACATAATCATGTACACAGTATGCTACAATTAATATAAAATAGGAATTATTTCTTTATATCCACATATAATAACTCTGGAAGGACACACAAGACACTAATAACAGTAGTAGCCATTATGAAAGAAAAGTAGCTGGGTGATAGAAGTTGGGGGACTTTTTTTAATACAGTAGTTTGTTTGTTTTTTAATCCTCACCCAAGGACATTTTTCCATTTTTTGTTCAGATAGAGTGGGAGGGAGAGAGAGAGAGAAACATCGATGTGAAAGGGACACATCAAGTGGCTGCCACCCGCACAACCCATCCAGGGCCCGGGACAAACCGCAACCGAGGTACGTGCCCTTAGTGGGAACCGAACCCAGGTCTCTCTGGACCACAGGCCGACGCTCTAACTGCTGAGCCAAAACGACCAGGGCTAATACAGTAGTTTAAAAAATAAAATTTAAATTTAAAAGCATTTCTTACAAATCTTGGTGGAGGAACAGCCAGGTTCAAACTACTCAGTGAAACCTCCAATCCATTCTGGGCACATGCCACAAGACGCAAAGCAACAAAGAATTCCTGAGGAAGAAAAATATGACTGTAAGAGCATTATCTACCTATCTATCCATTCATCTACCTACAGACATACTTATAATCTGAAAATACAAAACAATTCACAATTATTCCACGGTTTTTACATAGGAACAAATATAATAGCACATTTGCTCAAATAACACTTGCTTTGAAATTGAGAAAAGATCTATGTACAAAGATGTCCCCAGCATTATAAATAGAAAAAAAAAGTGTTAATATAAATGGGAAAATACTTAAATAGTGATATATACAGATACTGGAAATTAAAAACTAATAATCATGCTTCAAAGAATATTAAATGGTGTTAAGAAATACTTTTTATCACTTAAGTGAGGAAAAAGAATCTGGGAGGTGGAAAAAAAGCCCAGAAGAAAGTAATACCTAAATATTATCAAAAGTCATCTCTGGATTTAAGATTATAAATTTTGAAACTGAATCAATCATTCAAGTGACTCAATCATTGCTATTCCAGAAGAGCTACAGAGAATAACTGTGCAGCTTCTAAAAATAATTATATAACTGCCTGAATTCAAAATACTTATAATCAGTCTAAAATTTAATAAATAAATGCAAAGATGCTGAGGCAACTGGTTTTCAGTTAAAGTTGGGCCTGGGAATAGACATAAAAGACTTTGTTCCAGTTATATAACTTACAACTTGTCAATATGCTCTAGTACAATTACTGTTACAATCAATCCTTCACTACTTTTCTCAAACTCCCTATTCTCACCTACACCCTTCATACCCAATTCCTAACCTATTCTTAGAAACTTGCAGGTTGGCTGTTATATATAATACCTTGCCTTTACTCATAAATTTCTCAAGAAAATGCTGTTTGTTCCCTGAAGCTTTCCTCCCCTCCTCCAACATAGCTTCATAAGGCTCTCCCGGTACTCCTCTGTCCTTTTTCAAGTCTCTTCTGTTGAAGTCAATCTTTAAATCATCCAACCTCTAAATGCTGGTATTCTTACTAAGTATTCCACTGTTAACCCTCTTTCTCTTCTCATTCTACGAGATTCAATTACTCTTAGGAATCTGGTCCACCTCCAAAATATAGATGGGCTCTAAAATGAAATAGTCCTGAAATAAATTCTAGTTCTGCTACTTAAAGGTGTGAAGCCATGGGCAAGTGAAATAAAATTATTCCATAAAAGCGGAGCTTTGTATTATGGGAAACATAATAAAAACCATACAATAGGAAGTAAGCAGTCATTTTTGGCACATCGAAACTTATAAGTATAGGTTTATTTTCCTTCTTTCTTTCATTTTAATTCAAAAATCTATTCCCCCAATGCAAACATCAAAGTTTAACTGCAGACCTATAAATCCAGCCACCTAAATGTAACAAAGACAACTTAAACTCAACATCCAAAGTCAGGAATATCAATGTAGAATTTCTTAAATGGTAAACTCATGAAGATAGGAACCACATCTGTCACATTCACCTCTGTATTTCCAAAGCTTGGCTTAAAACAGGTACTCAATATTTGCTGACTGAATGCAGACTCTGGGTACCCATATGGATTTAGTGTTCCTACATCTCTAATGTACCAAACTGGCCCTTCTGTCCAGGAGCTCCAATGGGGACTACAATCTAGCCACTGAATCTTTTTTTAAATATGTTTTTACAGATTTTTAGAGAAAGAGGAAAGGAGAGGAAGAGACAGATAGAAACACTGATGAGAGAGAAACATCGATCAGCTGCCTCCTACATGACCCCTACTGGGCATTGAGCCCGAAACCCCAGCATATGCCCTGACTGGGAATCAAACCAGAGACCGCTTGGTGCATGGGACAATGCTCAACCACGGAGCCACACGGTCTGGGCTAGCCCTGCAATCTTAATTAAAAAACTGGGTGTTCTGACCTCATCAAAAATTTTCCCTTCCCTTTTCTGAGTTTAAGTCTGCTTCAGCAGTCCCCATGAGAAGGAAGGGTTAAGGGGGATTAGCTTTGAGTAGCAGTGCTCAACCAATGTATCACCAAGTAGCAAGCTTTGACTCCAATCCTGTAGAACTCTGAAATCCATCCCCAACAAGCAGAACTTCAAAGTATACTGATAGTGTCCAACACCCATAACCATTTTCATGAATTTCTGGTCTAGGGTTTACATCTAGCCTATAAATCATTTTTTGGTTTATAGGTCAGAGGTAAGACCTGGACCAGAATATTCAGGTTTGATTAGTCAAGAATTTCCTTTCAAATGAATGAGACAATACCATCTTAACACTTAACTAATAAAATTTATGTTTATTTATAAACCCTATACACATAAGAATTTTAATTAATAAAATACAAAGAGCAGTATCTCTATGAATGAATGAAAAATAATCCATGCTATTATTTGATGTATCCCCCAGAATTCTTATGTTCTAATCCCAACCCCCAAAGATGAAGGTATTAGGAGATAGGACCTTTGGGAGATGCTTAAGCCATCCTGGGAATCAGTGTTAATGGGATTAGTGCCTTATAAAAGAGGACCCAGAGAGATCCCTAGCACTTTCTGGCATTTGTGGATACCACAAGAAGTCTGCAATCAGGAAGAAAGCCCTCACCTGACCATGTTAGCACCCTAAACTGAGAATTCCAGCCTCTAAAACTATGAGCAATAAATTTCTATTTATAAGCTACCCAATCTGGTGTGTGTATGTATATATATATATATATATATATATATATATATATATATATATATTTTTATCCTCACCCAAGGACATTTTTCCATTTTGTTGTTGTTATTGTTCAGATACAGTGGGAGGGAGAGAGAGAGAGAGAAATATCGACATGAAAGAGACACATCGAGTGGTCGCCACCCGCATGACCCACCCAGGGCCGGGGACAAACTGCAATGCGCCCTTAGCGGGAACCGAGCCCAGGTCTCTCTGGACCGCAGGCCAACACTCTAACCACTGAGCCAAACCAGCTAGGGTCAATCTGGTATTTTTGTTATAGCAATCTGAACAGACTAAGACACTCCAGTAGAACAATGTCACCAAACTAACATTAACCTTTGGGAATTAGTTACTTTAATGCCTACTGATTAGAAGTATTTTCATTGTTAGGACACTTGTCCTTGCAAAACTCTAATGCTGGTATGAAGCAATTCTTAGTTTAAAAATACAAAAAACTGCTGGCTATTTTTTATTCTGAATCATTCAAAAAGTTTCTCATATGAATCTCTGAATCTTACTTGTTTGCTCAGGATACCTTTGCCATCTGTGTCAGCTAAATCCCAAATCTGAAATTTAGAAGAATAAAAAGAATCAGTCTATATTTTAAACAACAATCATTGTAAAAATAAACTAAATCCCTGTAGTTTACAACCTCATTTTTTGAGGTAACACCATAGATTTAAGATTCAGATTTAAGAATCATAGAATTAAAAGTGGAAAGAAACCTTTGGTAATCAGATTTAAGAATCACAGAATTAAAAGTGGAAAGAAACCTTAAAGATCATTTAGTGCAATACTAAGGCCATTAAAGTTACTTAAGAACACTGATCAGGGAAAGAACCAAAACCCAGGTTCTAACTTTCAGTCCAATGACTTTTTCATTAACCCAGGTTCTAACCCCAAGTCTAATGCTCTTTTTACTAAAACATATTACCTTGACTTTAGATCCTTACTAAGATGATATTCTTTCTTATGGGCAAGTTGAAATAATTAATGTTTATTTGTGAATAAATTATTAATGATAACTTTTCAGGGTTTGGAATACATATCATGTATAGAGACTTGCCAGGATATCAAGCCAGCAGAGGGACTTTCCACCATTTTGTGCTTTTTCTTAAGCCTCTCATCCCCCACTCTATTCACCACATATAAAACGCAGTTAGAGACAGTTATAATAGAGGAAGTAGAGATAGAGCCAACCCTCTGAGTGGGTGGCAAAGTTCCCAGTCTGCAGCACTGTTTCTCCCCACAATACCCGAATGTACTATTACTTCCTCATTTCATCCTACTAAAATGTACTGAAAAACACCTTACTTTTCAAATTCCCTCCATCTCATTACTATAACTGCCTCTATGACTCAGTTCTAACTTCTAAGTTTCTTGATGATATCTTTCTGAATTTGTATCCAATTTATCTATACTGCTAAATATTCATTATAATCTAGTCATAATGAACAAATACTACCTTTCCAAGTATCAAGTCTGGAAGCCCTGATTTTTTCAGGAAAGCAGCAGCATCAGAAGCCAATACTCTTCCAGTATTGCCTGTATCAACCTGAAAAAATACAAATGGTAAGCTGATATTAACACAAAGATAAAATTATTTGCCTTCCTTTCTGTGACTTGGGAACTGACTTTTTCAAGAAGGGAATGGGAATCCTTTGACTAAACCAAGGCCAAGGAATATATGCATAGTCATGTAAGTAGAGTACCATCTAGACAGCACTGGAAATTTATAAAGTGTTTTTTATTGTGTCCATTACACAAATGAGAGAACTGAAACTCAGAGGAGATAGAGCAAATTAGTGGAGCCATAATATTAACACATTATCTCCTGACTCCCGGTCTTCTATAGCTGCCTTTTAAATTCCAATAAACTTAAAAGGCAATAGAAGGAAAGGGGCACATTTCATAAAGAAGTCTTAGCTGCATATGTTCTCTGTTTTTTCGAACACCTTAAAATCATTAACTTCTACTTTTATACTTACTGTTAGAAACTGCAACACTTTATTAAAAAGTCAAAGCAGCTCTAAAACCAACAGTGATTCCATAATAAACTTAAGAAACATTTAAAAACAGTTAAGCTCCTAAAGCACACTAAGGTTAACACATCATTTTAACTGAAAGGGATTTTCCTTTAAGACAGAATGAGGTCAACAAGAACAGAAAAACAGTTAAAAAAAAAAAAAGAAGAAAGAAAGAAGAATGACTCTTACTTCTGCAAAGATTTCCTAAAGTTCAATTTATAAAAATAAAAAGTAAATTTTAAAAAGTTATGGGAAAGATGACATATTAGGATATTTTTGAACTATTTTTCCAGTTTAGTTAAAAGACTGTAAGTTTGTTGTAAACATATACAAAGCATTCTAGACAGGCCAATCCCAGCAAAGAAGCAAAAGAGAAATCCTTTCTTTCAAGTGCTCAGCAAAAAAGAAAGAACTGCCCAATCCAAATTTGGGATAACAAGGAAGTTGGGAAACCTGCCTCTAGAATTTTTCAGAATTCCTTTTCTTTCCCCACTCCTTGACCAGGGTAGGAGAAAAAAAGAACACCTACCCCAGCATAGTCTAAGTATAGAAGCACTCAAGGGAAACAATCAAACTCTTATGAAATATTTATGTACTGTATTCCAATTAAGAATTTTACTATCTTCCATTCTTTTGGTTACTAAAATAAATTAAATTAAACACAGCCATTTAGGCATTGTCATATATAGGCAGTTTCTGTTGTACTCTAATGCTTGCCTAAAGGCTTTGCTATAAGCTAGCAGATACAATTATGTCTTCAACAAAGTCTCAGAGCCTCATCTAAACGACTATACCCTGTACTATGAATTGTTAACACTTCAAAATATAGACTTTTGGGTAAAGACTTCTAAGCTGACATCAGTTAAACAACTGGTGGACTACGTCAGAATTTCTAAGACTCTGTGCAGTCGAGAAGTAGATCTATTTTATAAAAGCAGACCCCTGACTCAAGATGCAGGAGAACAAGAATTATACAGGACTAAATGAACTGTTTAGTCCTAAATTACTAAATGTAATTATAGTTGTTTACTTGGAATACTGTTGGTATTATTTTTAATATTCTATTTTATAATGGTATGTGGGAAGGCCCTTTATTTTTCTTCTTACACTATTTCTAACACTCAATTTAGTAGGCTCTGTGTTTGTAAAATGAATGAAATCATTTTCAATGGTATCTGATTCTGACTCTTCAGAATTTAAAAACAAATCCTTTGCTCTGGCCAATGTGACTCAGTTGATCGGGTGTCATCCTGTGTACCAAAAGGTCACCAGTCTGATTGCCAGTCAGGGCACATGCCCAGGCTTTGGGCCCGATCCCCAGCAGGGAGCATGCAGTAAGCAGTTGATCAATGTTTCTCTCTCACACCAGTGTTTTATCTCTCCCTCTCTCTTCCTCTCTCTCTCTCTAAAATCAATAAAAACATATTTAAAAAAATAAATCCTTTAACTGAATGCCCTTACTTTTTATGGCAATACAGTAGTTATTACATAGGTTAAATCAAAATTTGGTCTCCTTTGATATAATTGAGAAAATCGATAGTGCAAAATAAGGTCATATTTGAGAATGATTCTCTTTTATTCAGCTAGAACAAGGCGCTATTAAGGAACAAGAACTGACTTTAGCTAGAGGGGATCCCAATGCTGCAAGCCTTGGTGGGGAGGGGAGACTTAAAATAAAAGAAAAAACAAACAAAAAAAACTGACTTTATGTGGAGCCAATATCTATAAAGCCCTCCCAAGAAAACTGGCCTGCAGCCTAATTTATAAGGTCCCAGTCTCTCAGATAGTAAAGCAAGGTCACTTAGCAGACTAGGAACCTTAGCAGATATGGGAATCCTCGAGATCAGATAAATTCACTCAAACTTGTATGTACTGCAGGTAAAATATGGGGGTAGAATTTCTAAGGTTTGGACACTAGCCTCAAAATAGAGGAACAAATAAAGAGGCTTTATACAGTATAATCTGAGATTCTTTAAATAAATTTCAGGCAGAAATTAATTCTCTGGCCTTAGAAGTTGTTAAATAGTAAATGTATGGCTCTAGATTTGCAAGTCATACCCAAGGAGACCTATAACGGTTCCTTAATGCTTGCTGTACTATGTAAATAGCCAGGTAACTAAGCCAGGTTTATTAAATAGACCAACCTTTTTAGTGATTATGACCACAAGGTGAGATGATTATTAGGAAAAACTATCCAATATTTGGAAATGGGCAAATGAGATTGTCTACACCCTTAGGAGATGACCTGATCTACAGTATACACAGTTGTTTGACTTCTATCAACCAGGCTATTTTATCCGTACTGGTTAAATTATAGAAAACTGATAACAAAGCAGGTGATTCTTGTCCATATCAATGAAATAAATTTTGTCTGGAGAATATAAAGCTCTATAACTCACATTCTCATTTTTACATTACTGGTTCTCCCAGTAATTAATGAGTTGAAAAAAATCCTTGACACATGTTCATTTTACATTTGTATAAGAGTCGTGGTTTTAACTTTATAATATTAAAAACTTTAATAAGTCTTAAAAACAACTAAAAGTCATTTCCATTTGGCTTATAAATTAATTTTTATATGTATAAAAATTTATTTCATTGGTATGGACAAGAATCACCTGCTTTATTATCAGTTTTCTATAATTTAACCAGTACGGATAAAATACCCTGGTTGATAGAAGTCAAACAACTGTGTATACTGTAGATCAGATCATCTCCTAAGGGTGTAGACAATCTCATTTGCCCATTTCCACATTATAAAATAATTTGTATACTTTTATCCAATGTTATACGGGTTTTTTGTTTGTTTGCTTTTTATCCTCACCCGAAGACAATTTTGCATTTATCTTCATGAAGAGAAACAGAAACATTGATGTGAGAGAGACACATCGACTGGCTGCCACCCACACAACCCCTTGGGGCAAGGGACAAATTGCAACTGAGGTATGTGCCCCTAGCAGGAACCGAACCCAGGACTCTCTGGTCCACAGGCCGCTGCTCTAACCTCTGAGCCTAACCAGCCAGGGCTGTTATATGAATTTTTAAGATACATAAATATTTGAGACAAATGTTTGGGGCTTAATTATCTTTCCATCATTTTCTGAGAGCTTGTCAAAAGTATTAAGTATTGTGCCCTGGCCAGTTTGGCTCAGCAGTTAGAGCGTCAGCCTTTGGACCAGAGAGTCCTAGGTTCGGTGTTAGAGGCACATACCACGATTGCCCAGTAGGGGTTGTGTGGGTGGCGGCCAGTCAATGTGTCTCTCTCACATAGATGTTTCTCTCTCTCTCTTCCCCTCTTCTCCCTCCTGCTCTATCTGAAGATAAATGCAAAAATGTCCTCAGGTGAGGATTAAAAAAAAAAAGTTTTAAGTACTGAAAACATGAGGCTAAAGCACAAAAAATTGAAAACAAGATATATCAAATTTATCCAGCTAACTGGTAATCTACATGTATATAATCAAGGGTGGAAAATATATTTTATGTTCAATCTAGGAAGACAAACAAAAACCTTACCTGTCTATAGTATTTTTCATATACAGGATTCCCACTTGATAACTAAAACAAATAAATAGAAATTAAATGTTATTCAATAACGTCTATTAATATATTTGCATCCACTCAGCAGATATTTGAAAAATAAAAACAAACAGGATTAAAATATCCTTCATTTCAAAAAGTTTGGTTTTGTTTCTTTTGGGAGGAAAGAGGGAGTAAATAAAGGCAGCCACATAGATTACACTAAGAATCAGGTACAAGAAATAAAACAAGATTTTTAAAATTACTCTTGATATCAGAACTCTTTTCCTCACGCAAAATTTTACCCTAAACCCAACATATAGCAAATTAGGGGTGAAATGCTTGCCTTAGGCAGTCATCCTCTACCCAAGTGACCAAAGTACCTATAAATACAATTCCAAAACCACATCAATAAAATAATAAAATGAATAAACCAATAGATGTACAAAAGGACGATGCTATGATCGGATCCGAAATGCTTATAGGCAGGGAGTACCATTCAATTCATACCATAGTTCAAAGGGTTCCTTGGTCAGCTGATGAACAGACATCATCTCATCTGAAAGGCAGTTTAGAAGTATCAGTGTTTGAAGGCTCAGGTTTACCTAAACACAAATGTGTACAAGTGTTCTGGAACCAGGAAGGTTTCAGGGGGGTGATATCTGTGCAGGAATGTGAAGTATGAGTGGGGGAAGAGGGTGATCCTATATACAGGTAATAGCATGCACAAAGGCATGCATGCAACAGAAAGCTCAGTTATGATGAAAAGAATCACAAGGAGTTCTGAATGGTGATACAAAGTGAAGATAAGGTTGTAAAATTTTGTATAAGACAACTTATGAAGAGCTTCATCTGCATGGTAAAAGAAAATGAGGATGGAAAAAGGGTACAAATTCAAGAGTTATTAACTTAGTATTAGTTCTAGGTGATTATTTATATGTGAAAAGGAAAAGTAGAATGGAATGTAGAGTACTACATAGGAAATAAATGTAATGGCCCAGTGAAGGACCCTAACACTGACAATAGTAGAAAAGAAGGCTGTGCTTTAAGCATCAAGATTGGGCTTAGAGTTCTTAATGGGTACAAGACTGGATTAAAAAACCAACATCACTGAGAGCCTACTTTGAGAACATATTATGCTAAATGCTTTATAAATACTTCCACACTTAATCCTTGTGAGCCACATATTTTCATCCCAGTTTGCAAATGAAGAAACCTAATGTGAAGGTTAATTTTATGTGTCAATTTGGCTAGGCTATGGTACCCAGTTGTTTGGTCAAACACCAGTCTAGGTGTTACTATAAAGATATATTTTTTAGATGTGATTAATATTTAAATCAGTAGACTCTGAGTAAAGCATAATGTGGGTGGACATAATCCAGTTAGTTGAAGGCCTTCAGAGAAAAGAATGAGGTCCCCTGAGGAAGGAGAAATTCTGTCTCCAGAATGCCTTCAGACTCAGCTGCAACATGAACTCTTCCCTGGGACCTCAGCCTGCTGCTGGTTGCCCAGCAGATTTAGGACTTGCCAGCCTCCACATGAGAGCCAGTTCCTTAAAATCAATCAGTATGTGTATGCATGCATGTGTATGTCCCCTGTTGGTTCTGTTTCTCTGTAGAATCCTAATATACCTAGTCTCAGAGAGGTTACTTGTCCAAGCTTTTAAATGGCAGAGACTGGACTTAAATGCAGGTCTGTCCCACTCCCAGCTCCATGCTCTTTCACAAAACCATGCTGCTTCCCATATGCCATGGCTTGGCTCAGGACTGTCTTAATTTACAATCTGCTGTCCCAGTAACCCATCCAGATTACCATTTGCCTCAGATTTCTTATTTTCTTAAATGAATTATTATTATTAATCACTACATTAAAACAAACCAAGATGGATTCAGTACACTTCTAACTGTATACATCTAGCTTCTGGTCAATGTATCAGCTAACCCTGTGTAAGTGCTTTAATCACTCGAATAAGTAATGAATTCTAAAGGAGAACTAGTGACAATTCCATCTTTCTCTCCCTGATCCTTTACAGAAATGCCATAACCAACACCTTCTTTTCAAGGACAGCATGCAGAAGACTCACTGAGAAATATCCTCAAATGCAAGGACACTAACTGCCTTATAGCCTTTCAAGACAGCTGGAAAAGTATTTGACACTGGTGCTCCTGCTGGCTGTTTGGTGTGCCAGTCAGCACAGTGACGTGTGCAATGACCTGCAAGATGCACCAGGCCACCAGCTGGCTAAGTCAGTGGGGAGGGAAATTCCAGATTAGGTGCAAGGAGTCAAGGCTGACAACTCTCAAGGTGGCTTTGTGGTTGTGTCATTTATTATAGAGCATTAATCTACAGTTGCTTATTTAGTCTGTTGTTTGGCAATTACTTTTTATTATCCAATAAGCCCTTTCAGTAGCAATGAGCTAAAATGAAGAGACTGTATATTTAATACAAGATTAAGTACTAAATTGCCACTTCTGTAGAAAATGGATAAACAGACAATTTGCATAAAACTTTTGAGGCTATTTCTATTTCAAATGGAACTCTAGAGACATCACTGTTAATGAGTTAGCTGCAACTGTCAACATTTACAAATGTTTTCATATATCCACAGTTAAATTTTTTTTTTTTAATCCTCATCTGAGGACATTTTTGCATTTATCTTCAGATAGAGTGGGAGGGGGAGAGGAAAGAAGAGAAAGAGAGACATATTGACTGGTTGCCACCCACATGACCCCAACTGAGGCCAGAGATAAACTACAACTGAGGTATGTGCCCTTCTTCGCAGGAACTGAACCCGGACTCTATGGTCCGCAGGCTGACACTCTAACCGCTGAACAAAGCTGGCCAGGGCAACACAGTTAAAATTTTAAGGATAAAAAGTTTATCAAATACAAAAAAAAAAAACAAATAACTTCAACATGGCAATATGTGTGATCTACTTACAACCTATCATCAGATTTTAAAGACTGGAATATTTGAAAAACTGACTTTATAAATCTAACCTAAGTGCCTCAGTATTGAATCTTCTTGAAAACAAGTACTCTAAACATTGGTTGCATTTTGTTCAAAACCAGTCAGAAATCTTTAATCAAAAATTAAAGTTCAATTAATAAAGCTAAAAAAAAACCAAAAAACAAAAAACCTCTAGCTTTGAAGCTTTTAGCAAATACCAATTATTATAAACAATATTTGCCAAGACATTAAAATACATGCTTCAAAAGCAAGAAAAGCCCTGGCCAGTGTGGCTCAGTTGGTTGGAACGTTGTCCAGTACACCAAAAGGTGGTGGGTTCAATTCCTGGTCCAGGCTCAGGTGGGAGACAATCAATCAGTGTTTTTTTTTCTCTCTCTCATATCAATTTTTTAAAAGAGGCAGGGAAAGAACTGAACAAATTAAATGATGAGAGCTTAAATAGTATATAAGATTTAATTTTGAAATTCTATAATTATACTTTGTAATGAATTATAGGAGTTCCACCGAAAGAGTATTCCTATTTTTTTTGTTGTTGTTGTTCAGGTAGAGTGGGAGGGAGAGAGAGGAACAGAGAGAGAGAGAGAAACATCGATGTGAAAGGAACACATCGAGTGGCTGCCACCCGCACAACCGATCAGGGCCGGGGACAAACTGCAACCGAGGTACATGCCCTTAGCGGGAACCGAACCCGGGTCTCTCAGGACCACAGGCCGACGCTCTAACCGCTGAGCCAAACCGGCCAGGGCGAGTATTCCTATTTTTAACTGAAAAAAATGTATAGTTTGTACTGAAATTAAATGACAGAAAGCCTACAATTTTGTAGCATCTAAATTTATTTATTTATTTTTTTAATCCTCACCTGAGGATATTTTTCCATTTATCTTTGGATAGAGTGGGAGGGAGGGAAGGGTGAAAGGAGGGTGAGAGAGAAAGAGAGAGGGAGAGAAACATCAATGTGAGCCACAATGATTGGTTGCTTCCTGCACAACCCCAACCAGGGCCAGGGACTGAGCCACAACGAAGATACATGCCCTTAACTGGAACTGAACCTATGACTCTTTGGTCCGCGGGCCAACGCTCTAATCATTGAGCCAAACAGGCCAGGGCTGCAGTATTTAAATTTAATGGAACATGTAACATAATCATAAACAGGGACAACTTATATGACAAGATGGTCTTATAGAAATATTTGTCAAAAAGAGCACCTTTAGCCCTGGCTGGTTTGGCTCAGTGGTTAGAGCATCAGCCTGCGGTCCAAAGAGACCCGGGTTCGGTTCCCACTAAGGGCGCGTAATTCGGTTTGTCCCTGGCCCTGGTTGGTCATGTGGGTGGCAGCCACTCGATGTGTCCCTTTCACGTCGATGTTTCTCTCTTTTCCTCTCTCTCCCTCCCACTCTATCTGAACAAAAAATGGAAAAATGTCCTTGGGTGAGGATAAAAAAAGCACCTTAAGTGGGGGTAAAAAGACACTGCCTGTAAAATTATTGAAGCTAATAAATTTATAGTTTTCAATAAAAAAAATAATGAGAATTAATAATATTCTCCGGTTAGCAAAATTTTTCCTGAACTAACCAGGCACATCACAATTTATATAGAAAGTATATTAGCAATTTAAAATATTACTGGTTACAGAGAGTCAACTGTAAGGGTTAATAAGAACAATACATAAAATGTAACTGAAAAATACTTCAGGTTGTTTTATGAAAAAATTAAAACTGGTTAAACTATATTAGAAAATAGTTACATTGTTCAGAAAAGTATTAGAGACAGATATGATTAAGAAACTGATTTAAAATCTGATTATTACCAAGAATAGTGTTTTTAATATTCTTATAATCAACGTAAAGACTTTACTTTGTTGTAATATAGAACAAATGTTTCAGAAATTTTTATTTTTGAAAACAGATTTTGAATAGAACTGTTTTAGTGATCTACCAATGTAATAAAACCATTTTGATGGCCAAAAATAAGTATTTTTTAAAACTTACAGAATTGAAAATATAATGTCCCTTTCATTCCCAGAAATGTCTCAGTTTGAATGAAAAATTATATATTCACCCTGTTTATAAGCAGAGGGGTAAATACTTTGCTAGAGAAAGTAAATGAAATATGTTCCCTCAATAATGAAGAATTAATTTTTAAGGACAATTCAGTTGAATTTTTACAGCCCAGGAAAAAAAAACAACTCATCATACTAAGAAATCCTGAGCTCCAAACTGTACATTTTTTTTTTATTTATTTTTTTTATCCTCACCCGAGGATATTTTTCCATTTTTTGTACAGATAGAGTGGGAGGGAGGGAGAGGGAGGAAGGGAGAGAGAGAGAGAAACATCGATGTGAAGGGACACATCGAGTGGCTGCCACCCGCACGACCAACCAGGGCCGGGGACAAACTGCAACCGAAGTACGTGCCCTTAGCGGGAACCGAACCCGGGTCTCTCCGGACCGCAGGCCAACGCTCTAACCGCTGAGCCAAACTGGCCAGGGCCAAACTGTACCTTATTAATCATCACATTACAAACTCATTGGGTTACTACATAAACACATTGGAGAAGGCATGAGCTCACTAAAGTGTTCTAAAGTACACCTTGTGCTGATTACTACACCTATACGATACAGCTACGTGAGAATGGAAAAAACCATCCAAGTTGCCAATTCACTCATCAAGCAAAATGACCAGAGTGTTTTTGGTGTATCTCAGTAAAACTGGCTTTTCCCCCCCACTGAAATATAATCATTTTAGAGTTAAAAAATATCACAAATGCACAACACACATAATGACTGTATAGAGAAAAAAACTTGAAAGGTATAGCTAAAATAGTAATGATAATCATGCCTGGATAATGGGATTATAATGGGTCTTACATTCTTTGCATTACTCTGTGTTCTCTGAATACTTTTTTATAATAAGCATGCCCTACTTTTATAAGTAAAATAAAACAATAAAGCTATTTTCAATTTGGGGAAAAATATAAAACTCCAAAAATTTGAAATCAGTATGCAAAACTGTGTATGAATTTTTAACAACTAAATACTATTCTAAAGGAAAACTTTTTGTTGTTGTTAATCCTCACTCTAGGATATTTTTTCTATTGCTTGTTAAGAGAGAGTGGAAGGGAAAGAGGGAGGGAGAGAAAAAAAGAAACATCTATGTGAGAGAGGCACATTGATTGGTTGCCTCCTGCACTGGGGCCGAGGATTGAACCTACAACCCAGGTACATGCCCCTGACTGGGAATTGAATCCACTATCCTTCAGTTCAAGGGCCAACACTCTAACTACTAAGCCAAACTGACCAGGGCTCTAAAGAAAAAATTTTAAACTAAAGTTGTCACAATCAAAATCTGACCTCTTAAAATTAAAGTAATTATTTATTCATTAGCTATATCATAAACTCTTACCAGTTGACATAAAGTAAAAGGGAGGGCTGGCCCTGGTCGGTTTGGCTCAGCGGTTAGAGCGTCGGCCTGCGGTTCTGAGAGACACGGGTTCGGTTCCTGCTAAGGGAACGTACCTCGGTTGCAGTTTGTCCCCGGCCCTGGTCGGTTGTGTGGGTGGCAGCCACTCGATGTGTCTCTTCACGTTGATGTTTCTCTCTCTCTCCCTTTCTCTCTCTCCCTCCCTCTTTCTCTCTTCCACTCTATCTGTACAAAAATGGAAAAATATCCTCGGGTGAGGATATAAAAAAAAAAAGAAAAAAATCAAGAAAAATCAAGGCCCTGGCCGGTTTGGCTCAGCAGTTAGAGTGCCGGCCTGCGGTCCAGAGAGACCCGGGTTCGGTTCCCGCTAAGGGCGCATACCTCGGTTGCAGTTGGTCCCTGGCCCTGGTTGGACATGCGGGTGGCAGCCACATGATGTATCCCATTCACATCAATGTTTCTCTCTCTCTCTCTCTCTCTCTCTCTCTTCCTCTCTCTCCCTCCCACTCTATCTGAACAAAAAATAGAAAAATGTCCTCGGGTGAGAATAAAAGAAAAAAATCATGTAAAGTATAATAACTTTACTAAGAAAAAAGTTATTACAAAAGTATAGCATAGTATTTATCATCCTATGGTCTGGTAGGTTATATTATAATTCTCAATCATTTATTCTCCTTTTATAAGAGTTGTGACATCCTTGCCTGTTGCCATGTCATTTGTAGTGCCTCTCTGTGGGAACCCTATTGTTGACTTGGCCATGTAACTTACTTTGGCCAATGAAATATGAGAAAGTTCCAGTTCCAAGTAGAAGCTTTAAGAGCTATTGTGTGTGTTTCCACCAACTCTTGCTCTTTTCTCTCTGCCAAGAGAATAGTATATCATAAATAGGGGGGTGCTCCTTCATCCTGGATCCTGAAATGAAAAAGAATTGTGGAGTAGAACCATAATAGATTACTAGAGAACCTATAATGTAAGCAATATATAAACCTTTGTTATTGTAAGCACTAATATTTGATATTGTTTCCTAGTGCAGCATAATCTAGCAAAAGTTAACACACAGGTAATCTAACACCAAAGTGCACCAGGTAATTAAAAAAAAAAAAGAGGTGCTGGTTATTGGAAATTCATAGGCTAATAAATGAATGCTGAGATGCTTCATATAAAATTTTCTATTTCATTTTTGAGGGTTTTTGTGGAAGGGGAAATGCTGGATTATATGACTTCAAGAGCCTATGATTCTATAGTGCATACGATGAACTGAAACTTTAGTATTAGGTTTACTGTAAAAGGTATAGTACATGTGGAAAAAAGTAAAAATATAAAGGCATTCTCTAAAACATAATGCAATCTTTTTCTATTAATCACAAGATCATATGATACAAAGAATAACCAGTGAATAAATTAATAAAATGAAGAGGGGAGTAGGTATAAATATAAAGGAGTAGCATGGAGGATTTTTGTGATAAACAATTTATCATAATTGTAGTTATAGTTACTTGAATCCACAGACAATAAGATTGCATATGCATAGTATATACACAAAACCAAAAATAAGTATTTGAATAAAGTCTGAAATTGCCAATGTCAATTTCCTGGTTTTGCTACTATACTATAGCTAGAGGAGGTGTTACAATTAGGGACAATTGGGTGAGGGGTATATGGGACCTTTTTATACAACTTTTTGCAACTTCCCACGAAAAGGTCATGCTTCAAGACCACTGTGAAGTAGATAGAAAGTGGCAATTCAGACAGAAAGAACACTGTATATAAAGGCAAACAAATACAGAAGTCTAGGTAGTGAAAAGAAGACAGTGGAATAGATTTCATTCTTTCAAATAAACCATTCAAAATCTTTTTAGTTTTGTTCTCTCTAAAATTTTAAGAAAATGAGTAACTCCTCAGTACTAGCAAACATAAAAAATAATGTTACAGCCCGGACAGTGTGGCTCAGTAGTTGAGCATTGACCCATGCACCAAGAGGTTGCAGGTTCAATTCCCAGTCAGGGCACATGCCCAGGTTGTGGGCCCAATCCCCAGTGGGGGGCATGCAGGAGGCAACCAACTGATGTTCTCTCTCATCGATATTTCTCTCTCTCTCTCTCTCTCTCTCTCTCTCTCTCTTTCCCTTCCTCTCTAAAATCAATAAAGAAAAAATATTTTTTTAAAAAGATAGTGTTATAATGCACATACTTTTCTGGGTAATTTGCCATACAAATATTTTCAATATATTAACACATAAAAATTCAACAATTTAGAATTCAGCTTTCTTATACTCCATTTTCAAGACAGCTTACAAAGTAGAAGGGGAACCAGTCCTTACATCCTTAGAATTCTTCCATCACAACCACTTTAGTGGTGGAACAGTATAACCAGAAGAGCCTATGCTTTTATACACATATGTTTATCCCTGGCTGGTTTGGCTCAGAGGTTAAAGCATCAGCCCCATGGAGCAATAAGTTGGGGTTTCGACTCCGGTCAAGGGCACATACCTCAGTTGCGGTTCATCCCTGGCCCTGGTAGGGTCAGGCTGGAAGCAACCAGTCAATGTCTCTATCACATCGATGTTTCTCTCTGTCTCTCTCTCTCTCCCTCCCTCCCACTCTATCGGATAATAAGTAGAAAACATCCTCAGGTGAGGAATCAAAAAAATACTCACACACACACACACACACACACACACACATTTACATGATGTGAATGGCTTGTAGGATAGGAGACTAAAACCTTCTGCAAGGCTTGTGGTGTCAAAGCAATAGTCACCAACAGCAATCCAAACTGACAAAGGAAAGAGTAAACAGAAGCTGTCTGAAAGTCAAGAGAAAATCAGTAATAAACTTTAGAAAGGAAAACAACTCTGAAGCAGATTAAGAGGGTGGATAAAAGCAAGTCATCTGAGCAGTTCTCACCCTTAGAGTTACTGGGGTGGGGTTCGAGAAAACACAAGCAGGGCAGCTCCCTTAGAGAATGCACAGTATTAACCCTCAGCTCTATTATTCACAACTCTTTTTTTTTAATCTTCACCTGAGAACCTGTCTCCATTTACCTTCAGAGAGTGGGAGGGATGGAGAGAAAGAGAGAAACATTGATGTGAGAGAGACACATTGACTGGTTGCCTCCCACACGACCTCAACCAGGGCCAGCGACCAAACCGCAACCACAACCACAACCGCAACCGAGATACATGTCCTTGATCAGAATCAAACCCGCAACTCTTTGGTCAGCAGGCCGACACTAACCGCTGAGCCAAACCGGCCAGGGCCACTACTCATTTAATAATTTAATAAACATGTACTGAATGCCTTCTAGGAACAGAACAATAATAGGTTTAGGTATCTGAGGTTGCAAAAATCATATAGGGCTTCTGCCCTCACAACAGATTATATTCTAGTAAAAGTTGCAATGCTTCATTCTGTAAACATGCTAACATCTGTTTGTTCTAGAACAAACCAGTATAAATTGATAGCATAGTTAGCAGGCGAAGACCTAGAAATACTCTAAATACAGTGCTATATGGAAAGCTGTCAAAATTTGAATCTAAGAATACATCCGCTTTGGAGATGATCAGAAATAAAAGATTAAAGGGACTTTAAGTAGACAAAAGTAAAAAAAAAATACAATATATTTGTACACACTGAAAAACGAGGTGGAAACAGACCATACCAGCAACTCAAACCAATAATGGACTAGCTTTTGTAAAATCCAATTTAACCTGATCAAAAATCTAAGTGGCAGAATGGCAAAGAATGAATACAAAGAGTAGCTTTGATCTCTCATCAGAAAACATGAGTTTTACATATGCCTTTCTAGCCAACACAAACTAAACAGAAATTACTGAGAGAAGCATCATCTTTAAGCATAAATCATATGTGAATTTATAAAATTTTATATAGGGAATAAAACAAAAATAACTGTCTCCTGCATTTGGACAGCATTTTACCTTTTATAAAGGACATTCACAACTTCATCTCTCATGTCCTTTTTCTATACTAACCCAGATGATTACATCAATTTCCATGTTTCAGATACCACACTTATGCTGATGAATAACAAATTGTTATTGGTAGTTCAGACTTCTTCTCTGAACTCCACACTTTTATTTCATTTATTTAAATTAATTTATTTTTGTTACAGATGTTTCTTCCCCCCTCCCCCACTGAATTCCACACTTTTATATCGCCACTTGGATGTCTCCAAAACATCTAAAGGAACTTGTAATTTTTTTTCCTCTAAAAACCTATTCCTCTCCTACCATCAGCCACCTAAGTGTATAAGCCAAATACCTATGTCAGCCTGTCCCTCACTTTCAACTTTCAATCCATCAGCAAGTCCTATAGCTGAGTTCTAAAACCTATGTTGAACTCATCCTCTCTATATTTTCATCCATATCTTGTCTTGACTATAACAACCTTACATCCATCCTCTCTGCTTTTGTTCTTGCCTCTCTATTTTTATCTCCATACAGATTGCAGAGTAGTCATTTAAACATATAAATCATCTGACAAAAATAAATCCAAACTCCTTGCCATGGCTCCAAGTCCCTGCATGATCCAGCTTCTGCTGGCCTTTCCAGCCTCACCTAAGGCAACTAAAACAGCAAACTCTGTCCCAACTCACAGCCTTTGCACATGGCATTCTCTCTTCCTGAAAAGCATAGTTGGTGTCTTCATTTTCTTTAGGACTCAGCTTAAATGTTACCCAGAGACTCATTTGGATCATCATAAAGTAGGTCGTCTCTTTTATTTTCTCCCTCAGCTTTGTTTCCTTCAGAGACCTTATTACAATTTATTTTTATTTGTCTTTGTGCTTTGTCACCATCACTATAATATGAGCTCCATGAGAGCAAAAACCCATAGCTATCTTGTTCACCATCATATCAATACCTAGCACAGTACCTACATGTGGAAGCCCTCAGTAAAAACATCAGTTGAATGAATGATCATTAGTGAAATTCCTTCTTACAATTCTAAGAATTCCTTCTTAGAATTCTTACAATTCTCAAAAATTGTTGAGAGTATAAATTCATTTATTCAACATTTATTGACAAACTATTACTTGCCAAAGATTGAGCTAGGCACAGTGATGAATTATACGACGTCCCAGCTCTTCAGGAGTTTACTAGTCTAGTGCAGAGAGAAAGAAAAATGTAGGAAAGTCTTTTTTCCCCTCAGTCTCTTCTGAGAATGTTCCCTCTAACTCCTGGTCCTCTCCTGAACAGAAAGCCTGGCAATCTTCAACTCCCTATTTGAATGAAACTCAGTCTCCAACTTCCTTTGTGGTCCTCTCAAATGGTAGCTGTCCAGTTTTAATAATCTGCCTATCTCAGGTTCTAGAAATAGGACTAAAATCCTCTTTGCTCAACTGTGCAGCTTGTCCACATTATACTCCTCGACTTGTTTTAAAACAAAGACAAAAATAAAGCTCTAGCCCTGGCCCATGTGGCTCACTTGGTTGGAGCATAGTCCCATACGACAAAAGGTAGTGAGTTCAACTCCCAGTCAGGGCACATACCCAGGCTTCAGATTTGATCCCTGGTCTGGGCACATACAGGAGGCAGCTGATCAATGTTTCTCTCTCATCAATGTTTCTCTCCCTCTCTATTCCTTCTTATCTCTAAAATCAATTAAAAAATAAAAATAAAATAAAGCTCTACTCTTTTGAGGGTCTTATGTTTCAACAAAAATATTCTCTCCTCTTTCTTATCACTGTCATCTTTTAACCTCATGGTCCCTCTACCTCTTTCATCTAAGGTTTTGGCACCTGGTAGATTGTCTCCCTCTCTACCCTGAACCTCCATGAAACTGGATGACTTCACCTCAGACTTGAACAATCCATCCAGTAACCTGAATTCTTACCTCCTTGACCTCCTTAATTCCAATACTCTTCAAAACACAGTTACACAATGCATCACAAGT